ACCTCTCTCAATCGTGACTGGGGATTGTGCCCCAATTGAAAGCTCCACGCAGTGACCGGGACCCACTGTACGAATAACAATCACGTACAGAATATAAACACAGATGCATCACTGGTGTTACACCGAGGTGTAACATTCTGGAAATGAACTAAGTTAACGTTGCGTCCCTCAACGATTTATACCACTGATTGTTTGCTTGCGAAACGTGCCGTTTTGCGTCTCACTGTGTGTCATTCAATTATTCAAATTTGCACACCAAACGAAATATTTATTGAAAATCCCTTTAAAAATCCCTAACTCCAAGATTAAATTATGACATTATTTTTTCATTCGTGGGAAGAATAATAGAATCTACCGGAACGAAGGGGAAATACCACATGTGCGGGTAAACACTGCAGCACTTGCCCTAGTTTTTTCCCTCTTTTTTTTTTCTCCCTGAACTCTCCCAAGAAACCGTTTTTTACTAGTTAGCACTAAACACATCTCCTAGAATGCCCCCAATTAGCTCTGATAACAACAAAACCGGTAATGAGAGAAGCCGTACCCAGGGGTTCTCTCAGCAGTATACAACACCAGTACCCGCGGGAAATTTCACCCCTCGACTTGGGGTACCCCCCAGTTGGCAATAATCTTGATGATACTCATGACGCCGGTTACCTAACTTTTCACATTAAGAAGGAGTTGTTTGTATCATTCAAGGTCATAAGCAACAATGAAAATCTTGGATTGCTGTTGTTGCGACGTGATGCAGTCTCCAGGTGCTTCCATATCTCTCGCGTTGACAGTTGATTTGAAAAATTACTCTAAAAATTCTCGCGAATTACTCGATCAATTACAGCCTCTGCAATTTACACTGAACATGTAGGCTGCAGATTAGCTATATAGATTGACGGAAGTGGGCGAGTCTGCGGGCCAGACTTTGCTGATGCTGTAGTCTACTCATAGGGGCATGTCATTAGGTTCATTCTCATCTCGGGTCAAGGTCAACTGATTTTATTTAAGGAGAGTGCAAAATCGTTTGTTTATATTGTTATCAGGGTGAGGAGAATGATTGGATATTGATTATCGTTTGACTGGTGATGCCTCGATTGACAGGCACCTCCTTATAGCCTTAATTATTTTTCCATTATGTGGATTAAAATCGTCAATCAAGTCTCCGATCTCAGGACTTGAGGCGAGAGCAAGAATTAAGGCGTCGCTGCAGTTTATTTCTATTTATTTAATTTTTTCAGGGGAAACTGGAGATAATGAATCCTTTGATTATTATTTGAGACCGAGTTTTGAGATACTGTAGTAATGTGTATGCGTATACTGAAATCTCAGGTTGGAAATATAGTTTGCACTCCATTAAACCTAATATGACGAAAGTTCTCGGCAGTTTCAAGAGGAGGGTTTAACAGAGAATTGCAGTGGCAACACAACCAACTGTAACGTAGTTTCTCGGTATACAGGGGAGGACTCGTACTAACGTCTTTACTGAAGTTTCAAACCAATTTTCTAAGCGCTATGTTGCATTCGTGTATTTCCTCACCTTATTAAATCAACCCTGTTTTTATTTTTCATTGTTGGTCCCTAGCGATGAATCCGATGAAATGATACTCTCAAACGTGTTAATTAATTTCAATTAATCACGCCTGAAATACTGATTTAATTTCGTGAATATGTGATCGAGCTTTTTTTCGGAGGGTAGAAGAATTGATATGATTATTTTGGGATAATTAATGAAGTTAGAATAGTCTAATCTGTGCTAACGATGACTAACCCTGGTTGGCCCTTATCAAAGCCAAATTCCCGGCAATTCAACATAATTAAGTGGACGTGGGTGTAGAATGTTGCCATTCTCAGTTCCGGATTGGGTGGGCAAATAAACACTCCTTTCGCGTGTGGTATCGTACATGAAGTGAGGATAGAGGATCATTGGTACAGCTTCCGAGTGGTGTTGGGAGGGCCAACGGTGAAATCGCTATGGATACACGTCTAGTTTCCACGAGAGCTTAAACCAACGATTCAGGATTGCACTCGACACTTGCCATCCCCCCAGGATTCACCATCTCTCCATTCCTCTATCCCCGTAATTTTTCTTTTTTTCTTTAATTAAATTCTATTGATAAATACAATATTTTTTTTTTTGTATTATTCTAGACAAATTATTATATCGCCCAGGGGGTTTTGCGATAACTCTAGCTGCTACCAGTAGGTTTTAATCTGGAGAAGCGAAAGCGCGTGAAACACACCTGACACACTCTTGATTTACTACAAATTAGGTGACGGCTAATTTGTTTTTACGGAGTAGACCACCGACTGTGGGAGGGATTTATACGCCGCGGTATCACACAACTATTTCCCTTTGAATACTTTGACAAACTATGCAAGTCCATCCCTATTGGACCTGAATACCAGAGCTGTCCGTGAAATTTAGTGGAATTTCTCAATTAATTCTGCACCTACCGATAATTTAGTCATCGAATATTGTATATTCTGGGGTTAGACAAGATGACCATGAATTTATCATTAATTCAGACTCGATTGGTTAGTTCTTTTAAATAAATTTGTTTTCCCGGGGTTGGCATTTCACAAACAGCTGTGGCAATCGCAGCACTTGGCAATGCATAATTTACGGAGTACATGACAGTGATTCTGGGGAGACTGACTTCGGCGAGCGTAATTGATGTTAGGTGTTCATTAATTATGGAAGGTTGGCTCGATAAATCGTCTACTACTCCTCGCCTTTGACAATTTCACTCATCTCCACACGCCAAAACAAGAATTTCATACCGCATATTAATTATCCCCTGTCCGACGCAGTTATTCCTCAAGAAGCACAAAAAAATCTTTCACGCTAGGGTTGAAACTGAAAATTATTTTGTCACTCAAATTTTATAATTGATTTCGGATAAAATCATATTTGTTATTCATCTCAATCGAATGCTTTTATTTTCCAAACTTTTTATTCACGGTTTTATTTAACGGCAGCCAGTGCTCATTTTTAATATTTATTCTCGATGAAAAACGAGTTGATAAAAAGTTTGGAGTAATTACCAGCCTTTTGGGTTGATAAACATTGAATACTCGATAATTCTTGCCCCCGCGAACGTTTACTTTTCTGTTGGACTCGAAAAGGATTTTTATCCCGACATAAAATTCTATTTTTCATCAGAAATCTATCAAACAAATTGCACTCTCACCAAATTCACGTGGAGATAAATCCACCCACAAATTTTTCAGGGAATCACTCTTGTTAATTATAACTATTGCTGATATCTCTATACACACGGTTTCTACATTCCGTTCATTCATCGCGTACTCTGTTTACAACTCCCTTTTCCCTCCACCCCTCCCTCAATAAAGCAATTCGTAATGAAGAACGTTGAATTCAATATTTATACACAAATGTATAGAATCCAGGGGAGAAAATGGGTATTCATCTTCCCCTGAACTTTGGTCCCAGAAGTTTGAGTAATGAAAGTTGGTTCAATAAAGTTGGCGAGTTTGAGTCGAGTCTTACAATAGTGAAAACTTTCTCATCATCTCTGCGATATAATTTCCAAATGCAAATGAAACTTCTAGTTGAAATGACAAGTGATTAACGGCTCCTTGAATTTCTCCAACTGTTTAGTTCATTCCGTAATAAACGAAACGATGAATGATTCTTTGTGCACCGGTTCGCTGAAATTATTTTCATTATTATAAAAAAAAAAGGAGTTCCACTAGGTCACGTGACATGACCTCAACCGAAACCTACGTGAATACACATTCTAGTGGAAACAGTCTCTATTGATTGTCTTTACGTGACGAGAATTCAAACATCGGTACCATGAATAAAGAGTGTACTACAGCATTGAGAGGTGGCCGCGGAAATTCCAAGAACTATATGCACTGAATTCGTTATATATTGACTGGAGAATGAAAAACGGATACTACATGGATAAAAATATTTCACTCGGTATCGGGGGCATGGAGTTCATTTCGCTTTTGGTGAAATAAAAATGAGATCCGAGGAGTTCTAAGGGCTTTGCGCAGCTGATGAAGAATTAATCGGGAACACGCTTTTTCTTTTTTAATTTTCTCCATTCGCGCTGATGACTTTGCCAGACTCATTTTTTTTTCTTCTATTTTCATCTTTTATTGACGCCACAACGTAATGGACAAGCCAATAATTTATTTTGGACTTTTTTATGGAAAATATCCTTTTGATTTTTGAAGTTGCCAATTGGAAATTTTTTACCTCAAAGTTATGAATGTGCTGAGTTGAATTTGTTCTGCACTCTGAAATTTCGGATGCTTTCAGCTATTTTGTATTGGTTCGGATGCATACCACCGAAAAGCATGGAATACATTTTCCTGAGAATGTTTTCACTTCGGTCAAGAGGTCACTCTATTATAGCTTTCCATGTTTCCGGGGATCGGCGAATTGTGTGGATACCGATGAGACACATGATTTCACCATAAAACCGGAATAAAAAATATTTTACAATGAATTGGGTTTCTCGGGCATCTGAAAAAGTAACGTCCCTGAATTTTCAGAGTAAAAAAAATAGGAAACGTACGGAATGGTTCATTTATCAGAAACGTGCCGTAAAAAAAACAGATGGAATTGCCCTTTGGGTGAGGCAAGTTGCCAAGCGTTTGAATTTTTCTGGAAAAAACAGTAGAAGGGAGCGAAATGAAATTACACTGTGCGGAGAATTTTGTCACATGCGATGCCATAATTTCGTCATATTCTAGGAAAATGTATTTTATGACGCCCGTCAATTTTTAATGTACGTTCATTCCCTTTCCGTGAATGACACACTGACGTAGAAGAGATTGTAAACATGATTGTCGCAAAAAAATCATTGAGTGCTGAATACTCATTCCTAATAATAATAATACACTACAAAGTTTTCCGTAATTTAAAATTAATTTAAAAGGGATATCAATTTAAAAATTGATTCACTTCTCAATTCTCAGTATACACAATATTTTTTCTAACTCAACGTATTAAATTTTTCTTATTGCAGAGCATACGAAACATGATCGCATCAAATACGACAGACGCATGTGAAACGCGAGATCCATGCCAACACGGTGGAATTTGCATTTCCACAGATACCGGTCCAATCTGCGAATGTCGCACTGGAGACTACGAGGGTGAATTCTGCGAAAAAGGTTAGTCCTTCTCCCCCTCCCTTTACTCCAATTCAATGGACCATTTTGCTATTCCAAGACTTTTATTTACCCAACTCAACGCAAGGAAAGTTCTCCCTCTCTGAAATCACCACCTGAAATTCATAAAGAGAAATTTTCAGTTTTCTCTTCAACGGCTAGCATCTGACGTCTCTAGCTCGGAAGTAAAATTTTACAGCGCCAAATGTGCTTTCCGCGAACTCGGGAGATTTTCGGAGAATTCACTGATAACCGGTTACCAAGATTATAAACCCTGGAAATTCTCCCCGGTATGGAGTATTACGGAATTTCGCTTTAAAATTTTATTTTATTTTTCTTCCAACTCTTTCGTTTGTCGGAGTGTACAGTTCATTCTCTCCTACCATTCGTGGGATTAATTTGGGAATCACGCCAATTCCACCGAGGGATTAACCTTTTATTTCACTACTTTGCCTTTTTTTTTTCTTGCGTTCTATCGTTTTTTTATATTTCAACTCGGTTTTTTTGAGAGTACCAATTACTTTTCACCCAGTGGTATTGCTCTTCGCTGGTCTCTTCATTTTATCACTCTAGGACGTATCATTTTATTCTCAGAATTTATTTTCAGTTGGAAAATTTTGAATTACAATTGATTTCAATGGAATTCCTACGAGAATTCCATTGGGTTTCTATTATTTGGAGCTTGAATCAAAATCCACAGGGTATCCGCGGCTTTTTTTTTGTTTTATCATCACCCCGAGACGATAACTCCGGGCATTGAGCTGACGATGCTATCGTCAAGTGTCGTCTTGATGGATCGTTTCGCTGCTTTCATTTTTCCACCTGTTTTTATCCACTGACATTTTGCTCCTCATTCCTTTTCATTCTCTGATTCATATTTTTTCCTCTCGGATGATTTTCCACTGGAGAAAATTCTATTCTTTATAACAAAGGAATACACCCCTTTTGACTTGGGGTTTAATTTATATTTTCTTTGATATCCCAATCCAATTTGTGAAGAATGTCAATTAAACTATCGGTATTCGCAGCAATTGAAATATGAATGGAAGCGATTGGAATGGAGAAGTCCTCTCCTATTACTCGTCAAGATGTTTTCAACTGCTGATAAAGTCCTCATGAATATAATAATGGAGAGTACTCACGGCTATATTAAAAAATTTATCTGGGTAAAATATAATTTGACGGATAGCAAAGTTTTATTCTCGGTATAATCCACCTCTATATAAAATATACCAAGGGCTTGAGACTTGGGAATATTGACGGTATAATGGGAGATTGTGTGTCCCAATTCCTCGATGGTATATTCTGTGTTCTTATAGGGTTATCTTGAGAGGACTGTGACCTAATAAACTGTATCGATAAACCTCCGGGGCTCGGTGATGAGGATTCATCATATGTACTCGTGTAAAAAATATATGGAGCAATACATATCTACGACGAGATCGGGAACCAGTTGCATTTTTAAAGCCTCGGAAATATCATTTTTAGGAAGGACAATTTAATATTTTTCAAATGACTATTCCTCGATATTCATATTATTGATTAGTCGGAACGATTTCATTAATATTTCCAAATGAAAGAGTGAAATTAATTCTGAATAATTGACAGATTTACGGTTTTAATCGGAGAATATCATGGGTTTTAGCAGAGATATCACAGATTCATTACTCATTCAATAGAGAATTTGCATGAATGGCTATTTTAAATAGAAATCCTATAAAACGTCACAACATTTATGTAAATATTGTATGAATGTTGAATATTCGGCTCAATCAATTGGAGTACTGGAAAATCATTCAACTTCTCTATTTGAATAATCATTTCAATATAATTTCAATCATCTCTCATTATTCTCTTGTGTTTCTTTACTTTCTTTCTCGTCCATTGATTTTCATAGAGGCATGGAGCACAGTGCTACCTACGGCAGGTGCTGGAGATAACCAGTCCTGGGAATACAGTGAGTTGAACACTAAGTTTTATTCAATTAAAAAAAAAAACAATTGAATGAAAACTCATGGAGTGAAATAAAACCATCAATTCCCTTAAATTAATTTTTTATCAGTAGATATAATAATCATAAATCGCAGGCAACCACCGTACGTAGCATACCTCGTAGTTGCTAGGTTGGTTTTTTTTTCCATGTGCATTAAAAGAAAGCAGTGGCTTTTTATCGGTAGAAAAAGTACTTGCACCCGGTACCAAGTATTTGAAAAAATTTTCCACAAGTCAACTTTTCTCGCAAGTAACATTTGGTACTGGTACTGGTTGAAGTACTTTTTTTTTTGGTGTGAAAGTCCGTAGATGTGAGGTAGAAATATTTTTGCTCATCACAATATAAAAAGGAACAAGATCGCTGAATTGCCTCACTTAATATTTCATTCTGTCACAGTGAGGTTATTGGAAAAATTCTCCTTTAGTAGAAATCGTTGAGGCATCCAGCGTTACCATCCAATTCTCCCCCGAATATGACAGTTGAAAGAACGTCTGATACGAATGAAAGAACCCTATCTATAATCTCAACCGTCTACCCTCTCATTTTTTTCTCTCATTTTTTCCATCTTTTTCCACCAAAGTATACAAAATAGATGTGTAGAGAGGCATTATGGAATGAAGAAGGATGGGGTAAGGCGTCAGGACAGGTTTTCCTTGGAGGGAAATGCTGCCAGACATTTCCTAGCATCTCGCCGTCTCTCTATATATACATACATATATAGAGGAATGATGTTATATAGACTTTGACAGATGTTATAGACCGCACTGTTGAAAGCGATCGAACGTAATAACATTGGTCGAACGACAGTCATGCACTCGCCCGCCAATCTTCGCAAAAATTTCCTAGAGCAACGTCAAGTGTGAAGAGAAGACGACGAAAATACGTGATCTTAATCCTTCATTCTTTTCATCTAAATTTTAATATATTTTTTTCACGCTCCTGACACCAATGAATTGACACACGATACACACATGAACGAATTCAAGTCGAATCGATATGGATTAAATAATTACGCAAACTTGAATCATCTGTCATAATATCCGAATTCGCATTTATTCGAGTCTGACTTGAGTCATGGCATCGATCCGATATAAAATAAATCTAATCCCCCGCGATTTAGAGGGATTTTTAGTATCGAGAAGCTGAATAGCTCAGGCAATGATAAAATGCCCGTCGGACCATTTTTCTCAGCCATCAAACGATTCTTGTTAGAGTTCAATAAGATTCCGGCCCGATATACTACCGAGAGAATAAAAAAAAAAAATCCACTCCGGGTAAATCCACTGAGAACTGGGTTAACTCCACCTGTTTTTCCCTCTCTTTGCCATTCTTATTTTTCCCCCGGTGTTATTTTCAGTGGCATTCGTGTTTGTCCCTAGTCGCACATTTTCCACAATTCCACGATCTATCGGTGCGCGTATTATTCTATCGAGCAACACGCGACGGTTGAAGAAAGATGGCAATAAGTCGATGACACGAGTGGGTCAAATATAACTATATCATCCACAACTCGGTATAACATCTAAAGTCTTGGAATACACGTCGACACAAGCGATAGTCAGACGTGAGGTTAATGGAAGTTGAATTTGGAGCGCAAACTTATCTCCAAATGGTTAGCATAAAAAGATATGATACGGAATTCAAGAGACTTCATATTTACTGGGAATATGTAAGTATCACAGGAGGTATGTCGTCACCCAAGTGCCATACCAATGGGAAAAAGTAAAAGAAAGATTTCTAAAAACCGCCGGAAGAAATGGTGCGCTATCTTGTAGTCACTGGGAGATATAGGGTATACGATTCAACCCCATCCCTTACCATCCATTTTCACGTTCGGCGCTAGTCGTTTACACCAACGACTTACGACATTAAGCTCCATACGATTGTCACCGACCTAGTAATATAACCCGACACACCAATAACACAGAACCAAACATCCTTCGTCACTTACTTTTTCTTCTTTTCGAGCTAAGGCCACAAGCATACAGCTGTCACCACTGCTAAGAAGTTGTTGCTCAAGATAAACCTGAGAAACTACCGACAATTCTACAAACACTATTTCTTTCGAGTTACATTGGAGTGACCCGATTGGTGTGGCTTGAGCTGTTTCGAGGCTGCAAGGCAAATTTCATTTCTAAAATAGACGTGCCAGAGCAGTCGAACATATCGAGGTTCAGGATTGGTTCAATCGAAAAATAGGATATTTATTCAGAACAGGATAGAATTTGACTCAAGCCAAACTTTTCTTAAGCCCTCACTCACCCCAATGCAATACACCTTTTTAGCATCACATTAAATCTTTATAATTCCTTCAAGATTATCTTCTTCACTCGCCGGTAATTGCATTACCAGTTGCCAGCCAACTTGCGCATAAACTGCGATCCATTGGTTCAATGGATAAAGCAAAAAGCTCGGTTTGATATAATTAGGAAGGGTTAATTAAGAGCGGCGGCAAGGAACACAAGCCTTCAACTTGAGAGAGTATATAACCGAGGACTGAGTTAATAGAAATGTTGGAAAGTGCAATCTGCGGTAGCTCGCTTATTATCCAAATGGAGGACCTCTGATTGTAATGCTCAAGTCTGACTTTAGATTAATGGGCGATGATAGGGTTCATTAAGATCGACCCGTCCTTTTCACAGATGAGTAACAGCCTTTATTCGACAATTGTCCGTTCATGTTTCTGCAGTCGAGTGAAATGAAAAAATTGCCACATTCTCATTTGTCCAGCGCTCACTCAGATAACGAAAATTCCACGGAATTTCTTCTCCAGTTACGTTAAATGAGAACCGAGACTTTAAATCGACCGTAATTCAACATTAATACTCAAGAATTTTCCTTTGCTACACTCAGAGAAACATCTCTGATAATATCTATATTGCAGACTCACTGTGTACTTTTCTATTACATTAACTACCAAGGAAGAGTGAGCTTTCGAGTTAAGCCTCTACGGTTGTCGACATTCGAAGATACGCATCCATCTGAATATTTATGTTTCGTTGTTGAATGAATGGGGGATTTTCTTTGTATATAAGTTAAATTTAAGTTCAACGTACTCGCTATTTTATCTTCGTTTTTTAATACTTTTTATTGTTCATCTCTCTGGGTAATGGGGAATGTTAACTGGCGCTTGTAAAATCGACAACTTTTTTTCCTTCCAAAAATAACAATCAGATATCAAATTTAAAAATCAGATATAAATTTTTCATGGCATACGATCTACTGTACGAATAATTAATGAGGAAGCTGTGAACAAGATATTTGAAAAATTTTAATCAATGTTCCAAGGGTGTCCCACTTGAAATCCATTTTTCAAGATTCTCCTTCATCTATATGTAGGGTCGTACTTAAACATAGTTCCACCAAGTTCTACCTGTTCACCCAAGCGAGAAAGTATATCGTCCGCACAAGTTTTCTATACTTCTTCCCTCCCTGCATTATACGCTTGCTTTTTTTTTTCAAAGTCTGGCAAGTCTCTGGTGAGAGACCTGAAGACATCGTGGTGAAATACACCAAAAGAAGGCACATTCAATTATTCAACGAGACTCGATTTCGTCTCTCTTTTTTTCCTATCGAAACAAAAAATCACTCATTCCATCGAACGAGAATCGATATTTATATGGTGGATAGGTAAATTTCTAGAGACGCTAGTTTCCCTCGTGTATTTTGTGTTGACAAGGAAAATAATGACAGTAGCAGGTGCTTCCATTGCTTCTAGAGATAATTGGATTTAGCTATTATTTGATAACACGGAGAGAAAAGGTTGAATAAAAATTACCAAAAAGAAAGATTCAAATTACGCTCCGACAAAGGGACGGATCACGTGAATTATTTCGTAATTTTTACTGGAAAATTTCTCTTCGTATTGAGTGATGGAGAACGAGGTACATGATGGCCCCTACGATCGAGGCTAAATCGTATCCAATCTTTTGTTCCCCAATTTTATAGATATTCTTGTAAAGTTTGTGGTGTATAGCGATATAAAATATTAATGTTTACGTCGATATGTAATTTATCTGTTTTTATTGCAGATAAGGTACCTTCGGAAGCGTCATTCAAGGGAACAGAGTATCTTAAGGTCATGCTCAGTAGAGGTGACCCCATTCTCAGTATGGAGGAGTCCGTGAGTCTTCAATTCAAGACGAGGCAACACAATGGACTTCTGTTCTATTCTGGTAACAATAATCTTTAACTATTCAATTCAATAAAGTTTTTCAGACAATAGAGTTTTTCGCTCCTCGAGGCTAAAAATCTATGAAAAGAATTACCAATCTTCTACTGAAGTATTAGAATATATGAAAAAGAGCTTTTGCATTCGTGTGGGGTATTTGTTCTCGGTGATAAGTTGCAAAAAAATAATATTAAAAATTCTTGTTTGTTATTTTTTTCTTCAATTGATTGATTAATTTTTTATTGTTTTGGATTTCAGGCGAAGGTCTTGATTACTTGACAGTTTCATTAAGAGATGGTGGAGCCGCTGTCAGTATGACATTGGCAAATGGTCGTCTAGATCTTCACATCAAACCCACGAGAATAAGATTCGATGACAACCAGTGGCACAAGATTATCGTCCAGAGGAGGGTGCAGGAGGTGAGTCATTCAAATTATTTATTTATCTGTGTTAATGGGTTGGCAATTCGAAATCTAGTTAATTCAGGTAAGAGTTAAAGGAACAATTCATAGGCGATCCATTGCGTGTTCATCATTTATTCCTGATTATATGTGGGAGTGCATACTTACTTCACGGAAAATAATAATGACGACTTCCTCCGCAGACTTCTGCAACATTTGAATAACTCGGCATGTACTTAGCAAACTCACTTGCACACTTCCACCCCTCGTTAGTCCATTGCATTCAAAATTTATTCTACAGCTTACATATGCCCAAGTACATGCCAGTCACACCATGCTGCAGTTAAAATGTTAAATAGTTGTTAACAAGCATAACAGTATGATGCGGATTCTGTTTTTTTTTTCTCTCTTTGAAAAAAATAATCACGGAAATTAGCTGTCATTATTTCATTCCCCCGCGTTAATGCAACGACCTTATTATCAAGTTCTCCTTGGTGAGTCGAAAGTACAAAGCCGAGTGTTACGTTAAAAATATATACATTTTATCTCGAAGTACGAAAAAACTCACTTTGCCAATTTTTTTTTTGTGAGCCGTTGTCCAGCTTGAGCGCTTCGCATACCCACGGGAATTCACAGAACTTTGTAAATTGGTAGCAAGGGCTGGTGTATGCCTCTTTGACGTGGAAAAACGATGTCTCTCGTTGGGGGGAGTTCATTAAAAATCAAGTGGTTCTCCTAATTCGAGGGGTTTTACGAACGTCGGTATTAAAAGTTAACTTTTCTCAAAATCAGGATACATGGGCTATGCTCTTTGATGAATGAGTAATGCTGGAAGCTTAATGGCATGGCATTGAACGAAAATGTAATAATTGTTAGGTAATGAGGGAGGTATATCTCTTGGGGGTAGTAAGATTGAATATCAGCTGTAAGTCGGAGTAATGACCAAAATTTTGAGATTAAAAAAAAATTGTCCTAGTTCGTGGAAAATCACCTCAAAGACAGACTTGAGCCACCGCAGTACGATGCTAACCACTCTGAATGCTAAGCAAGAGCTGACGCCAGTGGTGTACTTAGCCCCCCCTCAAGCCTCTATCTGCACCCTAAACTTCGTTTCGAAACTGGTGTGGAGCCCTCAACTTCATGCTCTGTGAAGTTAGACGGAAATTAAATTTTTGCTGTGTGCAGGGTAATTCAGATGTACTCGAGATTAATATGAGCACCCGGTTTCCAACAAATGACAAGGTATCATTTGTCAAATACATAATCGATATCTTCGATAATTAGTCGCAAATTTTTGAGCAACTGCAACACATTGTTCTCTATGAATATCCATGCTCGATTTTGAAATGCATCTATTACGCGGTGAAAAGTTTTTGGGGAGTCTCGGGGAAACTTGATACCGTAAAGTTTGACAGTTTCAATCTATTCGATCGGAAGATATCCGCGTGTGAGTGAGTTTACCGTGAAAACTAAGCCCTAGTTGGTGGGTGCGATATTCTATCCGCCTAAACTCTAGATGTGGTACATCGCCAACGGTTGCTTCTCCAAGAAAAGACAGGCGACTGATGGTGATGCGCCAAAACTTTATTCAGCATCTAGTAACAGCGGTATAACTTGACGCTTATGTTTCACTCCTATCAATCTCGATGGATTATCCCTTGTGGAGGAAAAAAAAAATATTTCATCGAGTCAAGTTGGCCGGAATGAGGGCGGGATCCGCATATTTCGTTTGGAATTCGCAGTATCAATCGACCCTGACGCGCGTTCATTTTTCAACTTAACTTGAATCAGACCGAAAATAATATAGAATCAGTATTTTTTTTTTGTTGCTAATCTAACTCATCCCCAGAGTCATTGGCATCAATAGAAAATAACAATATACAATAGTCTGTATGAATATTCATGTACAACGCAGACAGGAGGACGGAAATGAGGAATTATTATTTTGCGTAGGTGTGGTGATGTAATGGCTCATTAAATTTTCCATTAGACTTAGTTCTGGGTGCCATCTGCAACGTAAATACCAACAGCTGTATTTATATAATGCTAAAATGTGACCACATTTCGGAATTATTTTCCCGAATATCATTCCCACTGCGTTAATTTGTGGGAACGGGGTTTCCTGAATTCCATTCGCACTGGATTATCGAATCATGGGAATCGATACCGTTCATCATTCTCATGAGGTAAAATTATTGCTGAATTTTTATTCAATTGTTCATATACTCTAAATTTATTTCCTGTACAAATAATACACGTACAGATGTGTTGGAACAAATTTTAAAAAATCATTGGATTACTGAGACTTTCATGAATTTCCGCTGATCAAAAGAAAAATATTCAACAACATCGAAAAAATGAAATATGAACTATTGATTGCGATGACATTATCCTAGACTCAATTAATGGTAAACGGACAACTCATTGTCATGAGTCACGGATGCGCGATATTCATCAATTTCGGCATTCTATATTGGTTCTAATCAACTGATCCATGTTCGGCGTTTACATTATTCATTAAGTCGAAATCACCGCTTCAGGTGATTCTCCGTCGAATTAATAGAGTTATCGATCATTATTAAATTACATACATGAGTATTGAACCCGTTACGAATGAAGAATGATCCATTCGAATAAGAATAGTTACTTATCTTCGTCTTGAGGATGCTCCTAGTGGTAAAAATTGACCGGTAATTCGTAGATGATGGGATTTTCACGCTCTTATAGGCCATTGATACGGTATAAGCTGTCGGGTAATCCAACGGATTATACTCGCCATCGTGGAATATGCCATCATCCACCTCTTTCCCGCTCCATCCACTGCTTCACTGTACTGAATATCCATGAAATTGTGAATTCACATATTCCACTTTACGCGCTCCGTTACATCGTGAATATATAACGAGAATATGACGCTTTATGTAAGTCGTTGGCAGATTCCTTGATAATTCAAAATATGAAGCTATCGCGCGACATGAGTGCATTTTTTATTGCGTATTAAACCCCATGGAATGAAATGCCATCTAGGGAATTCATGGGGTTCAATTTTGAATTTCTATGCATGGTAATGTCATCTGGTCGGCGAATCTTTTCCAGATTAGGGCATTTTTATTTTCGTTATGATTTCCCGTGAATATTACATCATATTACGCTATATTTATTCATTATTTTATGAATGGAGAAATTCGTTTCATTAATGCCTGGAGTTAATTTCAGGGAGAATTTCGACAAAAGGAAAATTTAATCGTCTCAAGTTATTTAACGACCCTGCATTTTTCCCATGCAGCAAATGCCTCAACAATAGCCCCAGTCTCATAACGAAGTTGGAAAATTCTTCAAGTCCCAAATGATCGATCCTGTTATTGAGAAAACCCCCGTAAATAACCTCTAATTGGTTGTTTCCCCGTCATTTCATTGTTATACCTCACTAGACAATGTAAACCACTGATAATGGCACCTAGTTACTGAATAAAGTACTTCCCGCTAACTAAGCATCCAATTTCTCCGACATTTATATCGATATAGAAATAAATGTTGAAATAAAAAATTCTGTACCAATAGCTACCTCGTTGAACTCACTAGAAAAATATTTCTGTTACAGATATCGTCAATCACGAGATTCTGCAGGGTAAGTACATCAAAAATGATACTTGATACGTGAAAGAGAAGACAATAAGTCTCTCATAGCACAGAAGATGCAAAGCTCTATCATTTATTGTACCGAATATGTGGTAAGGGAAGTTGGGATACAAGCGAAGAGTAGATTGTAGACGAATTGATGCTAGGAAGATGGATCTTGTTAAAAATGATCGTCATTTCTTTGAAAAGGATTTTCTGTCTCACCTTCTTCTCGTGGGGTCTGGAATGGCATCGGTGCTTTATCTTTCCTAGAAAAGTTGCCCCACGGTTTTACACACCGAAGCTACCCAGGTGGTGTAGCGATAAGCCTTCCTCGGGAGAAACGTATCAAGAATAATAACCCTGGAGCATTGAATAAATTCAACTCTCTCCCTCTCGTTGTATTCATTCGAGTAATTGAATTTGATAAGGGACAGACATCGAAAGTGCATCAACGGAAAACTTGAGCTCATTATTGCTGGAGGAAGATACCCAGTGTCTAGTTATCGATCCTGTTACGCGGGAAAGCTTTTTCACCCGGTGAAATCGTAAAATAGGGTGAGAATAAGAAAGTTCTCTAGTCGGGGGGAAGAGGCTATAGAGTTGTGATTGCTTGGGGTGCAGAAATACACGGTCTCGGAAAATCAGACATCATTTGCATCGATTAGCGTCAGAGTCTTCGGGGAATTTGGCGAATGGAAATTGTATCGAATTCTTCGGTAGATAACGAGGAAGCGAGTTGATGCAAAGGTATAGGAACTTTATGGTAAAGTTCTCGGTGTGATTTTCCGAATTTCTCCTCTTTGGTCTTGTAATATTACGCAATTTTCCGAGGATCTTTCCGTTTTGTCCTCCATATTATATTCCACACGTGGAGCTTTGGTCGGAAGTCACAACACCCGGGCTAGGGGATGGATGTAAAACCGCGGACAAAATACTTACAAGAAACAATGGTGGGTCTCCCAAAATTTATGGATTAAAATTCAAACTTGGATGAACACCGGGTGGAGTTGGTTTCACAACAGGATTTCAAATGTCAAGAATTACCAGAGGCAGATACCACTGGGAATTCGTTATTCATGGCGAGTCACACTCTTCTCTGAATTCTGACAGGAGAAAAAAAAAAGGGAAAATAAATCGTGAAAAGTTCCACTTGCAGACTAACTTCCACTAGACGTCGTGATGAATGTGAATCATCGGTAGAAAACTTCAAAGAATTTTACCCGATACACTGGTACAAATAAATTGAAATTTCCGGGCGAGTTTACTCGTTATTTTCTCAAGTGACAGTAAATTCTATTTCACTGAGGAAAAAAAGAATTCATTCAATTTTTAATTATACGCCGCATAATATCGATATCAATATCTCCTTATTTGAATTAATAAGTAAGATTCTATCCAAAAATGATAGGAAGCTCTGGAGAAAATGGCGAAAACGTTAATGTGGATTATCGAGGCCTTGTACTGTCAAATCATGTTCATCAATCTGTATTTGATTAATGGATCATGCTCATTGAAGCCCCCGTACCCTCGCAATACCGGTGTTATCCCTAAATACCGGGAATACGGCAAATTAGTGACGATTTGGGTGATATATCCTATAGCTGCGTCTGTATGTACACTACATTACGAGCGTGGTTTAGCCCAGCGTGTGGTATGTACTTTGTGTATCTCATTAAATATCACTTAGCTCTGCAGATTAAAGTTCACGCGTACTGCCAACTTATCGGTGTCATCAAATAAAAAATTTATTACAAAGAAATTTATTTCTTAATAATAAATTATGAATTGATCCATAATTTTCAGCGAATATTCATCGCCGCGCACTCCCTCGGCCCATAATTTTCATCCAAAACACATGATTAATGTATATATCGATCATAATTTTCTTTGCGCGAAGTCATCAAGGGAATGCATTGAAAATTATGATAAAGAACTTTCTGGGCTGTCGTTTGCACGCCTCTCTCATTCTGAAAGAAGAACGTGAAAACGCGGGTCAAGTGAATTGTGTACCGAGCACATCGTGTTTTGCATTTCACTTTTTCGTACCCTAACCTTTAAATGCAGTCAACTGCAGGCACATGAGTCAACGGAGACAGAAATGCACCACGTTTTTTTTTTCCTCAATTTTTTTTCCGCTCGAGTGAAATTGGCGGAGAAAAGACGCGACTCCTCTCCTGTTTTTGCTCCGACGGCTCCATATTCCCCCGGAATATTCTTTCTCCTCTCAAATAGTGAAAAATGATCAATTCAACACTCGCCCCGGTTAATTCAATTCCTCAAATTATGAAATATGATTCGAGACGGAAACGTAGGGTACAAGCAGAATATCTGAGTTATTAATGAAATTACAAATTAATTCTGCCGGCACGTAAGAAACTCGAGGATATACAGGCAAATTAAACCTCTCCAACGTGCAATATCGTACTTTATTGTACCCGAGATGCATGTTAATCAGTGCAGTTCAAAATGGACAGCGCAGTACATCCCCAATAATAATGGCTCGGAGAATAAAAATTAAAATCCCTTCCAATAAACAGCAGAATGATAAATATTCAGCTAGAATCCTCAGGAGTCTTTTCCCCGATACGGGGATATTAATTACACCCACGAAACTCTATGAAAAATTGGCATTTGTGGATGGAATGAAAGGTCATTAATTAATTAGGCTTCAGAGGGAAATAACCTAGGCAATCGATAAAAGTCACTCCACAGGTCTCTTTCTAATTCTATGATGAATCCCCGTGACATTTCAGTTGGGCGATAAAATCATCCGGAATTTTTCGTTGGCTCTTGATAAATGCACCACTCTCATTGCATCTTCTGAGACAAGGAAGACGTGTTTTTGTCACTAAAATCACTCTTGGTGTGGGACTCAGACGAGCACGTAGTGCACCAGATCCTCGGAAGGTATTGTCGTTAAGCATCGGATTTTCCATGAGTTCTTGTGAAAGCACTCACACCGGGGGAATATTTATTTTAAAAATAACGGCATCATATTATTCAAAGCTAAGGGCTATAATAGGATGGGAATGATATGATGCTTTGGATGAAATCGTCAAAGCAGAAATAAAGTCGCAGCATCTTTCAGATGGAAATTTCGTACCTCATCGTTGTACCGTATTTCAAAAATATTTTCTGTCAATTCTTCTTTGATAAATTCCTCATCGATTATATAATTGGAGTAACATAGGTACACATACACCGGTTACTCTGTTATTTTATCTTTCATCAAGGCAATCAACCCAACTTTGCGACCCAGACACTCTTTTGTTATCGGTACTCACTCTGAAACCTGAATTGTCGCTACCAGACTTCCTCTGCTCAGGGGTAAACTGGCTGGTTCGTGGCGGGACTTTTAATTACAATTCTGTCTGCATTAAATGTTAGAAACGTGCATTCAACGACTTGTCATTTTCCACTTTTTTTTCACCAGCGTAAATACAGACTCACCAGACAAAGAAACAATTTTCAGTTATTAACCGATTCCTTTGCTCTCGGGAATAAATTGAAATTTCGCCGGCAGTTGACCAGTAATTTATAATTGAATCTCCCTGAATGAAACCTTTGAGAAAATATTTATTTCAAGTACTTCCACATGAAATTTTTTTGATTAATTTTTAAACATTTTATCTTACAACGATGAGACGTGAAGAACCAAGAAATTAGTGTGGAACAAAACAGGATGTAAGAATGTTGACATAGAAAAGCTGTTCGCCAAGTGGCGTCTCGAGTTATTTTTCCCCTCAAATTCATCATTGAGATGTTTTTTTTTGTCGGCAAATAAAAGGCCGCAGTGCAGAGAGCACTCTTTACCGCATTATCGCTGTTACTCGACGGGCGTCTAATAAAATCCACCAAAGATCTTACCTCTCCAGTGGAAAGTTCGTTACGAATACTCTTAGAGCCACTTGTATACTATAAAACTCCACCTTATTACCTCATCCCCTTGAGATCACTTTCATTCAAGTAATATTCAACTTTTCCCGTCTATAGACAATAGAACTGCACATTTCTACGGTATTTCGCTTGAAGATGTTTAAACTCTCAGAACGAATAACTCCAATCTCATTTCATTTGTTTTGAGGGCTATTTTGAGGATTTGGAAACAATCCGTGGAAATTATTCACTTGAGCTCACGAGATTCTATTTGTTTCTCCTCTCAACACTCCCAGATCTTCATTGATGAATTGAATAATCTTATGGACAAAATGCATGCGCGAATTTTTTACAGCCGGCTTCGGCAAATATCGATTGCTCCATAATCAATGACGTAGAATGAATAAGTAAATGAGATTATTATCAGTCTGTAGTTTAATGGAAAAATCGAATAGTGTTGTGTGGAATGAATAAAAAAAATGTTTCTCTGCCATTTTGTTTGCAGTTATCAGCGATAGTGGACAGTATTTACGCAGAACACGCCCATACAGCTGGTTCATTCACACGATTGCCCAGTAAACAGCTGTTAGTTGGTGGTGGTGCTGATCCAAAAACACTACAAGGTGCCAAAGGAATCACCAATTTCGTTGGTTGTCTGCGCAAGGTGAGGCTTCATACCAATTTCTAACATGCCATTTCCGCCAAATAGCCATTTTTCATAATTCATACGATAGCTACAAGATCGAGCTCAAGATCTTCCCTGATAATTGGGGATTTGGCTCACCTACTGGAAGTGATAGAACCAATGAACCGTGCTGGATACTTTATGACCCATGAAGCGGAAACGATAGCGACACATGTGTCGAGGTTTCTGGAACCAGTGCACTGGAAATAAGAAAACTAAAGCTATAGAAATAAAACACGCGAGGGACAATATGACGATAATGGAGCATACTGTTGGGTATTGTGGGTCAAACGATGGAATTCCGTTTCATAACTTGGTCCGTTGGTGGCTGTTAGGATTGTCTTCGGGGACGTCATCTGTTCTCGATATAAAAAATAGTTCATGTCCGGTGATTCACTGGAGTTGATATCAACCCAATGAATCCTACCAATCATTATTCCATATGAATAAATTTCGTCCCATTTATTTTTTTTTTTAAGATGAAAAATTTTCAGTGAGAATTCATTCCATCCGAAACATGTGTTTCGAAATCTGTCCCACTCAACAAAAAAAAAATGTCAATTAAGCTGATAACGAAATGAACTCATCTTTTTAAAATTTATTTCTCCCCAGGTCGTGTTCAAAGCTGAGGGCGTTGAGATGGAGTTGATTGAAGCTGTGAAAAACGGCGCCACAGGAGCGACTGCCTGGGGCAGAATTGATTTTCACTGTCGTGAGCCAAAGTCAGATCCCGTCACCTTCACAACCCGTGACTCGCATCTCGTGAGTAGACAATTTTCCAATATAACAATCTTCCATCATCCCTAGTTTAACCCACCGCGATAAAAAAAATGTCAACCGATCCAATCAAATGCCATTCCATCATTTCAACCATGAAAATTAATTGCTCAGCAACCTAAACCTGAATTATTAAAATTGACGCAATCACTATCGCGTATTTCACGAATTAAACTTTTATCGCATTACGAAATATTCTGTTTCGAACCTGACTTGTGAACATGGTATACGGTTGCGTGTTAAAACGCAATTACTTTATTGCATTTAGTTCTAATAACGTTAGAGAAGTTGAACGTCATACGAAATTTTTTTTTTACCTTCAAAACCCATACGCTCACCAGCTATCTGCATTTTCACGAAACACTTGTCTAAAACGAAAGCGATAATATTACCTCGGAGATAACTTTTCTCTTCCGCCTGATTATTTGGTAAATTATATACATGTAATAAACCCATTGAATCGCATATCGGAATTCACGGTTGTCTGATCAAAGGCGCATTAATCCCTACCCCAACCTTTCTAGGCAAATGCATTTTCTCAATTGCATTACATCTGGCATTAACACTGATCGAAAGATACGCTCCACGATAGGATTTTATTGGCAAGAGAAAAATATTGATGGAGATGTTTTTTTTTTCATACAATTCCAGAATCTAGCACCTCGCTAGATTGCAGAAGCAATAATTTTCCCTCCTATATGCATGCATATTTGGTCGGTGCATTGGTGCATTGCGCTAATCCCAAAGGTAGATATGTAATTTTGGGATTGCGAGGGCCGATTGACCGGCTTGGGGTGTTAGACCAAGGTACCAAGTCCCCAGTGGACGAACTAGGATATCTCGCAAACAATATAGAGTCCTGTTTACAACCCCCGTGATCCACTGCTCCAAGTCACACTGATTGATGAATTTTATTTTCTGCCAACCCTTGATTTACCCGAAATATTAATCGCCTTTTGAATTTTTATTAAATATTTTTGTCCTTGGTCTCCGTATAATTACAATCTCGACGAAAATGAGTAGCACCTTTGTCGAGGGTAGATTCACCGCAGCGTCGTGTGTGGTGGACCTGCTAATTCTCCGCAAAGTCCTCTCTATCCTCTAAAACCTCCCTCGAATGAGGGACGTGGCTGATAATTAAAACCCACCACTTGAAACACCCGGCCATCACGTATCGTACAATAGAATGGATCTATCCTGATAATCATATCATATTGTTCAGATATTCCGTCGTACAAGTCTCATGATTCAATTATCCACTCAACAACTAGCGGATTAGATACTCATTACAGATCAGCGAAATTGCTCAGCGAATATATTTCTGTCCACCTTGGAAATTTCCCCGGAAATTTCCTTTTCATGATGAAATGACAAAACGGTGAATGAGGGATTTGGAAAATTATTTCTACTGAGGAGAAGTCAGTCGCGGAAGTTTTAAACCGTTTTGTTGAAATTCGTAGTATATACAAAGTTAAAAACCCACGGTTCGAGGATTACATTCATTATTTTTCATTTTTGCCCCGAATATGTCGTATTTATCTGTACACCGGAAGAAAATTCCGTGTACATTCTTTTTCATTTCTGAACCCCTTTCGATTTAATCCTGTTACCGAGGACAGAAAAAAATATTCATTTAAACTCCCGCCAGAGAAAATTCATAACAACAACTGAGTTGTGAGTTGAGTTTTTCCTCTTTTTTTTGCGGTCTAGCGTGTTTGTCGTGGAATCTGTTTTGCCGAAAGAATATTTTGCGAAGTTATTCGTACTTCGTGACGTGTGTACGCGTCCTTTTTACTGAGGGTTTTGTCAAGTTTGGGGGGATTGTTGAGACTTTTATTGCAGAAATGGACACAAGTGGTCCCTGACATGTTACGTAATTCGTGGAGGGTTTTGTAGCCCCCGGAAAATTGTGAGTAACTGAGTAATGACGCCTGGTGGTTGACCCTTCTTTCACAGTGCTTACCATTTCCCTAAAAGTGTAAAGCTTCTTTTTATGGATGCACATCATTAGCTTGGAAAAAGTTCTGGGGCTCACAACCTAGGTAATAATAAAATAATAGAGCAATATTGTTATCACTGAAAGCTGAAAAAAAATCCATCTTCAAGAGCTTAATTTTTCAATCGGCAAAATTCTCACCCCGCAATCTTTAGCTGGAAATTTTTAAAAAGTAGAAAATCAACTGACAGTAATTGTCGGGCAGGTGAATGTATCATTACAGAGCAACGAATATTCAATAATAATTCCGATGTTATTACCATCAAATAATTGAGAGGATTCGATTTGACCATCAGAGTTGAACGCACAATTCAAATTTCCAGCAATTCACCACTCGATGAAAATTCGTGTAGCAATATTGCCACAGCAGCAGGAAAATTCTCTGAGTTTTTGGGTTGCCGAACCTATCCATGTTAATTAAGCATCGTTAACTCGTATTTACGGTCGGTGATATAATGTTTCCACAAAACCTGACGTGTACATTCTATGAGCTTATACCGGGATTCGGCGTGTTACACCGTTTAATTGAGATTTAACCGTATTTTCGTACTCCTGCTATATTTATTTCAAAATTGTACACCACAAACTATCCAAGAATATTCGCAATGCAATCAAACACTTGGTGGCAAATGCCTCTTCACTTTAATAACCAAAACAGCAGTATAATCTCGGCTAATCCAATTAGGCAGAGACACGGGAATTACTACAAATATCCTCTGTCAGTGTTCTGGAATGTATAGCTCCTTTCTACCCATCCTATTTTCCCTATCTATAGCAAACATTAAGGAATAGGAAAGCGGGATATGGTTTTGAGTTCTATTCCGTTTCGCTACATCTGCATTAATTTCCCTCAAACCTGCATAACTTGTATCACCCGGGTGTAAAGGGGGGTTAAATCTCATGGGGGGCAACCTCTTTCCGCGTGTACAATATAATCCATACTATTTTACCCGCAAATTATTCAACTCACCGGGATTAAATCAAAAATAGTCATTTACTTGTGATTTTTTTTATCTTGAAACGAGCATTCTTTTCTCTCTCTCTCTCTCTCTGTAAAATCGTGGATGAAATAATGACGAATACTTTTCCAGAGAATGCTGAAGGTATGATTTCTTTCGGGGTCGAGTGGCTTTGAGTCGAAAGGCCCCCGGATGCCCTCATTTCCAAATCCAGTACTACAAACTTTTCTACCAACCCAAACCCGTTCAAACTCTTTGCATTCAAGAATCTCGAGAAAATTTATTAGAGTATACTCATCCACAAAACGTATGTACAGATGCCTCGTCTCCCATGAAAATTCTTCGCCACCATTCGACTCACCTTTCCGGTACACTTTGGAGTTGATGAAAAATTTTCAAGGGGCAATGGAGTGGATTCATTTAACGACGCCAATTCCAGTTATAATTTATCGTGGGCTTGATTGAATTCGAGAGTACTCCCCGGAATTATTGGGAATGCCCCAGTTTTTATAGTCTCATTACGCAACCGCAGACCACGACTACCGAAAAATTAATTATCAAAAGAAAAAAAAAATATTACAACGCCAATTAAATTTACGGCTGCCCCAAAATTTTCATTTCATCCTCTGGTCTCGAAATAAATTTGATTGGCAGAAAAAAATTTTCATTGCAATTTATGGCAAATGGCAAATGGTGGATTTCTAGAATTCTCTAAATACTCAGAGATGGCGGGATAATTTCCATCGGATGCAACGTTTGCACAATTTTCGAGTAGATAGCGACTGGTTACATGCGGCAAAGATGCATAAGCACCCAGTGTTACAACATTCACATATACAGTTAACAATATGCAAGTGCAATGTACAGGGCACCCTGGCTTTACTATTTTTAGAGGCGCAATAAAACCTCGTAAAAGCGACTCTTCGTGTATTTCATATTCATTATTAGCGTGCAGCTGTTACGTAACGAACAGCAAATTCAGTCGTGGGAGAGAGAAACAACTATGTAGATATTGTTGGTTATGATGTAGTACTAGTACATGATGGTAATTATAATTTTTACCCCCTTTGAATCGCGTTTTATATTCATTTTTATACACATCTTTGTAGATATATTAATTACAAAAAGAAAACAAATCCTCATTTTCAGGGGAAATATCACACGTTCGTTAATTAATTATTTCATTATTAATTCCCCAATATCGAATTTATTCTGCTCGTTAGAATCAAATTATCTGGATTGCCATTGAATTGTTCATTTATCCATTAATTTAATTCCCCTCAATTACTCATTTCTTCTTAATCAACATTATTCGTTGATTGTGAGAGAATCTCAAATCCAAATCTCTTCTGGAATGAAATCGCCTCCGTCTTCGGGATTAAATCCCCAGGATTATGTGATCACCACCTTCACTCCCAAAATTGACCCGTAAATTTCCCTAAATCATATTTACCTCCAACTAGTGTCTAAAATCAGGGTTTCAACCGGACTATTTTCCCTAATGGTTCTGTAACACTGAAAATTCATGCCATAACACGATTCGGTCAAGTGACTAGTGGAAAGAAAGTGACGGTCAAACATGAAACTTCATTGATATATATTTACGGTGGTATTATTCCTGGACATTTACTCACCATCACACGTCAATCGGGTCAGACGAGTGTAAAAAAAATCCCTTCAACTCCAATAATGCGATGAAATAAATATTTATTTAATTTTTATTTTTTTAATATTCGACAGAACCCGAAACAATAATTTTGACGGGAAATGACAATAGACGCAGACAGCTGGTGCGCATTTACGGTATTCTATGGAATCAATATTATTGTTTTGATTTATTTTAATCTCTTCATACGAGTGAATAGTACCGATAAACCGATATGAATTATGTTGAACATTGGTAATATTTATCAATGCCTCTATCTCTTCACGCATGAGCAATCAATTCAAATGTACAGAGAGAATATTATCTATTAATCAATCCTCTATTACAGAATACCGTGGATTCCAGTGATGAAAATTATGTGTTCGCATGCTTTCATAAATATGTAACATTCTTTACAGCTCTCATGTCACCGACCAGAAGTGGCAATTTTTTCATTGAAAAAAATGATAAACTGAAGTCACAGACTTGATCAATTATCTCAATTCCGATTGCATAAAATAATAGACCAATGGGTGAATCTTAAACGGAAAAAATATAATTAAAATATATATATTGAAAAATCAGGAGTTGATGCACGGAGAAAAAAATGCTAGAATTTTTCCGGTGTCATCGCGAATGCAACGAAAAAAAAAAACACGATTTCTCAATTTAACAGATTGAAAATTAATTGTTGTATGAATCCGATAATTAAATAGTCATTGAGTATTCAATAAGATTGAGTGATTTACCACTAGCCAAATGAAAATTTGTTGAAGTTTAGAAAATAAAAGATGAATAATTCAATCGGTGAATTTGACCTAGATCCACTCGAGCGTTAATATTTCTCGTAAATTTTCTCTCCGTGTGACAATGTCTAAAATTCATGTAAATGTTGTCATGTGTGTGCCGATGGGAATTCGATGATGGGCGGCCAATAAAAGAAGTCATCTTCATCATCGGTGAATGGAAGGCGACTTCACGGCGCCACCGTCACCTTCACCAGCCCAGAGTCCCACCTGGTAAGCTCAGTAACCCAGCTTTAGCAGAGAGAGAATGAGCAAATTGAAAAAAAAAAAACCAATCTCAAAGAAAGCGCAATGAATAAGAATAAATAAACAGGCACGTTTTTCCTGAATGATCAGTTAAATGATTAAAGCAAGGAAGAAAAAGAGCTCTCTCTGCACCGCCACTATCTGGCGCGCTGACTGGCCGGCCGTCTCACCCAACACCGCACCACCTTTTTTTGTCATTGGCTAATTTCACGCGAATATCTTAGCTTCTAGAGACGAGCGATACGCACTTGTCCTTATCAATACCTTATCATCCTCACCGGTACACCTCACCACCCCACCACCCCACCCCTTCACATTTTCAATTACACGCAATCTGACATTTTTGGTCATATCATTCAGACAAACTGCAAAACCTGAAATTCTCAGAAATTTGTTGAAAACTCGAAAAGATTATCCTCGGATCGGTCATTGAAATTGAAAATGAGAAAGTTGATGAAAATATGACCAAAATGTTGAGCATCATGCAACTCCTTAGCGAATGGGTTAGGAATCACCACGGAATTTTGTTACGTCACCTAAAAAAATTATCATACTCCCTCAACTTGAAAAAAAAAAATCATTAACCAGAGAATTAGTCTAGGAACTACAAATGAATCACTCGCTACGTTGCACCGTGCACGCTATTTCATTTTTAAGCGAATTTAAAGAGAAAAAAAAAAGGAAAAGAATTGCGGAAAAATGAAGACAGAGGAGGACGGCTATCATTCATTATCATGCATGGTAACTCACAAAAGTCGTGTATTTCAGTGTGAGAAAAGGGATAAAAAGACACGGAAAGGGCAGTACCGACCGGAAGTAACTGGTGGGTAGCGACCGATAAGTTCTACCTCTTTTCCGTCACCTTTAGTACTCGACTTTTCCGGAACCCAAGATAAAACGAGATTTCCCTCCTAAAAAAAAATACTCGAAAAAGATAGTCCTCTTTTTAAAAAATAATTCAACGTTTTTGTTATCATGAAGCCATTAAAATTGCCTCAACATCTCGTTTCATATATTATTGTATATATTCTTATAATATTGTTAACAAAAAACGTTGTAGTATTTTTTGGAAGGAGGATTCACTCAGTTTGAAGAAAAAGGAAAGACCTCTTTACAATTTTTTCCGTCATCTCCATCGGAATGATGTATTGCAACACGAACTAGTCAAATTCGTCGAGTCCACAATGTTTTAGTTCGTGCACTAAATTGCATGGAAAGAAGAAACGATGAACGAAATATAACGCACTGAACATACCGCCTTGCATGCCAATGCCATTATCTCTCCACTCGATTATTATTTTCTTTTACAGGTTATACAACACCGATTACTAAACAACAGTGCAATCGAGAGTTTGATGTTATCATCAGATTTATCTTTTATTATTTTCATCCTGAGTAAATACCCTTTTTTTATATCTATATCAGTGGTACCAAATTATTCATCAGTTCATCGCAGAAATTCATAGATCGTATTTTCGAATCGCGGTATATTTCCGAACAAAATTCCTGTGTGTCATCATTACCTAACTTGTTCCCAGTAGAAAATATCAGTTCGGTGAATGAAGAAATAATTTCTTATTCTCAAGACAGAAATTTCTCAACATTTTTCTTGAATATAGTGAATATTCACTGATGAAAAAAATATGAGGAAAATGAGTTTCCCAGTCCGTGAAATTCTCTTCTAACATGAACAAATTGCTATCTGTTTATTCAGAGGATCAATTACGGGCTTGCAGGATTCCCTTTCCCGGACTTTAATAGAAATATCCTTACAGTAAATAAAAGAGTAATTTGCTATTTAATTTTTATTGACATTGAATCGTTTTATTTTCTCCGAAAATGAGAGATATTATTTTATGAATTCATCATTCAAATGGGTATAAATATTGGTAGCAAGTTAAGTAATCGGCATTAATACCTGTATTTTCCCAATCCACCAAATAATATGAAATTAGGTAAATATTCGCCGGGTGGGGCTCTAGCACGTTTCAGTTAATTACCGAACATAATCACAGGAATAATCTGCAGTGATGGTTATTCTCTGGTTCAAGTATATGGTTAAAACAGACGGGACCCTCGAGGGAAGTGAAATCCACTTCTGAATACATAAGAAATGCTAGTCAATCCGGAAAGAAACGCGAAATGGTGAAATACGCGAGGGGCGCGTATTATTTACGACTGCACAACACGCGAAACAATCCGCCTAAAAAGTGTTACATTCCGAGCGCATAAAAAAAAAACATTCATTCCAATGAATTTTAATGAAACTTGAATTAATCTACCGAATTCTAGTCCAATTATTTAATCGGGAAAATTGGCATAATAATATTTTGAAAATCGGTTCGATTGACCGAAAATTGACGGAGCAAGAGTGCTTGATGTTTGAAGACACTGACAGACAGAATAATTTCCGGAAATTTCTCGGTAACTCAGGAATAATTCGATCGTTCAAATGGCGCTCGGTCATAATTCGCTCAGTCCTCCCGAAAATTAAACGAGAGGCTGTCGTCGCAAAGACGCATAGAATAAAGATCAAGTCCGGTTGAAGTTTGATAGTTGGCAACTTCACAAGGGAAATGTGGTTTCTGATGCTCAATTCCCTGAAGAGTAACATGACATGTTCCAAACCCACAGCATTCCCACGGAACGTACCCGCAGTGTCGCCACACTTCCTCATAGTCCCTGTGGACTAAAACGAAATAATGACCTTGAGGTTGAGGGGTAAAGTAGGAAGGGGTGGTTTTGCCAACCACTGGAAAACTAACTTAACGCCTTCAGCCATTTCAACTTTAAAAGTATGCGGAGTCGATACACCTCGGGATTAATATACACGTCTTAGTTAACTTCTCAAGTTAAACAGGATTAATGCTATCAAGGCTGAGGGAATTCTTCATTATTGATCAACCCCCAGATGCTTCATATATATTCATAACTCGTTTCCTCGGATTTTCCGGAAAAGCAAGAAATATTGAAGAAATATTTTAAAGATTTCAGATTTAATTTGATAATTGAACGTAATGGAGTACCAAGCGGTAAAAGCTACTCAAATATGGTCGAAAGAGATGAAAGAATTTCAGAGAATATATTTTTTTTCTTTGATATTCATTTTTGTTCAGTTGTGTATTTTGTCGATGGTAAAAGCATGCCTCACTTGGTGTATTTAACGATCTGTTGAATCTCCACGGGAGGAAAGCACTAGTGAGACTAGTTGATAAAGTACGGGAAAATTTAAAGAGTGGTATAGGGTGTGAGGGTGGCAGATCTAAGGGTTGTTGCTGGTAAAGTCTTCGTCAATGTAAGTTGTGCAGTGGAACGAGTTTTCGTATCTTCTGTGTGTCCAAGGTATCTCGAAATTTTACCCCTGGAAGTAGCAGAAAACGAATTGGACACACTGAGGTTGGCTTTACTTCAAAGTACTGTGAAAAGGTATGGGAGTGACTGTGGACCTTGGAAATCGTACCTTCCTACATTTCAACGAGTGTGATTCTGGATTTAGAGGGAGATAGCATTTGGGTTAGAGGTTGTCGAGTGTCGTCTGACATACGGCAAAGTTCTCTCAACTATCTCCAGTGATAAAAGAACTACCGCTAAATTAGAAGAACATCAAAGGACTTAATTTTTCTTTTACCCAGGAAAGTTGAGATTGTCGAAAGTCCCGGGTACTATCTTTCAACAGTTTTTATTTCACACTCTCAGGCCTCACCTCCAAAATTTCCCATCTCATGGAGATATTGATTGAGACACCCTAAAATCAAATTGAGTCTCACATTTTTTATCGGTATATTTAAATTGATTCAAGTCCATCCTCTGGATTAATTCAAGTTCATTTTTTGATCCTCGAGTTACGCAGTCTCAAGTTTAAAAAAAAAGAATTGCTTTGTGTGTACGATTGCATCGTTGCAGATGAGTGAGTCCAGAGTGAGTGAGTCGAGGTGCTCGAAGTGTAAAGGTCCTGGAGATTAGTAAATAATTTATTTCAGGAAGTAATTTAACTTTTCTAATTGATCGTCTATGTTAGCCGCAGTGGCTCACCAGCAAACTGCGACTTGCACTATAACCACCGAGAGGGTCGAGAGGGTGAGTGAGAGAGAGAAAAAGCGATAGAGTTGACAGTATATACAGGGGATTTTAGGGCAAAAGGCCAGACCTAGAGTTTTGGAGATGAAATATCCCCGAGGCGTACTGAGGGGGTGGAAAACAGGGGTGGATTCGTGCGGTTGAAGTAAAATAGAATGAAATGAAAGAGGAAAGAGCTACTGGAGATAGGGGCGGTGGGGTAAATGGGGTAGGAGGGGGTTTCAGTTGGAAGAATAATGCCGACCCGAGGCGACGACCGGAAGTGATCCTCGACGGTCGTTAATCGTCGGTGAGTTGGCGAGAAGCCGCGCATCGTTATCCTACTAGCAATGTCGATATTCATCATCTCTTTTTTTTTTTCCTCCATTACTTCAGTTTTTTGTCTCTCGCATTATTTTTGACTCGACCACCGGCTAATGCATACTTAAACTCTCGACGGGCTTGACCTAGTAATTGTTCAGGCACCTGACTTGTGAATAAAATCATCATTCAATCAAAAATGGAGATTGCCATTTTGTTTTTTTTTTGGGGGGAGTGTATTGATTGGTTTGTCGGTGTTGTAGAAGAATCTGGAGCAATTTCGTTTCACTCTTTAGCGGGACTATCACTCAATAAACCGGCGACAATAAACCTCGCGCACTCAAACTCTATCAAGGCCATCTTGCAAGACCTGATTTAATTATTCTGTGCCAGTTGTCTCGGGAGTCCAATTGGGCCAACAAATTTCAATGATGCAATTATCGGAAAGCCTTCTCATTGGAGATTCTGGAGTGAATCTCGTCGAATCTCTGTTTTCTCGATTATCTCTGCCATTTGCGTCATCTTTCGAGAGACAGTGCAGTTTATGTACTATTAAAAAAAAAAAAACCATTTCAATTGTCAGAAACTTGACCTGAAAATCTGAAAAGATTAAATGAAAAAATCTTCATTTCCTGCTCAATCAATTGGGCGGACATCTATTGATATTTCTGCACGTGAATTTTCAGGTGCCTAGGAATTCAAGGCTTTTATCGGTATTGTAATGCATTTGCCCTGTATTATTCATTTTTTTCGTGGTTAATTAATGGAAATCGATGCATAATTATAACACGAGCGGAGAAAATGCAATGGACGAAAAACGATAATTGCAAATTGGAATATTCGGAATTCATCCACTCGCAAGTTAATATTTCGATCTTACGAGGTCACGTCCATTGAAATTTCATGGATTATCTGTTGAATGGATTTTTTATTCCGCGCTCATCACCAAATACTTCACTTGGACGGAATTTATCACGTGCATTCATCTAATTCACCACCGGGTAAACTTCCTAGAAAAATTTCCACTGAAAAAAAAAACAGAGTCCCATAAATCTCCGTAAACATTGCAGCTAATTTGCCTCACACAGCTGGGAATATTTTTAATCCCCAAAAAAGGAGAATTACGCGCTTCATTCATTAACGCCACCCCAAGAAAACACCGACTTAATAATTTCATCCAGAAAAAGGCAAACATGGATACAAAAAGAAAAAAATATATACTTTCCGACAGTATAAGTGGTGTAGCCATATTTACAGTCGGACAGTTATTCTCTGAATAATGCAGAGCACGCCTAACCGCCATGAATCAGCATATACCCGGGCTAGTCCTTCCGCAATATTTTTTACTGTTATTTATTTTATGTTTTTTCGGTCTTCACTACCTGTCCTGCATTTCTCATCTATTCACAGAGAATGAAAATGAGAAAATGTGGGAGAGGATGTGTCGGTATCGCTCATTTGATTTTCTCCACTACTTTTCAATACTATTTTTTTACTCTCCCATTCCGGTGATAAAATGATTGGAAGAATTTTTATTTTGGTGGTCAATTCGATGTGGCAATTTCCCTCGCGTTAATAATCATTGGTTACAATGAACGAAACATTTGCCATTTTTTTTCAGAGATGATGCAGGCGCAGATCTCTCAGCTGATGTGCAACAACGAGGGATCATTTCTTGTTATTTATGCATTTGAGTTCGTACGTCATTCGTGATTTTTGTAATCGTAGATTTTTAAAAATGTTTTAGGTGTTACCACCGTGGAAAGCCGCAGAGTCCGGAACTATATCCTTCAAATTACGGACGAATGAACCGAATGGTTTAGTGATGTACAGCCGCAGTGGAGCACCAGCAAGAGTAAGGACTCGGAATAATTGTTTCACGTAGAGAATTTTTTTTATAACCCATTCAACTGCATTTAATTTATTTTAAAAAAAATGTTTGTCAAGCCATTGTCGCGGTTTCTAATACGCTACCATAAAAATTCAAGAGATACTAGCATTTATTTATCCGATGGCCGAAATCAGCTCCTGGAAAACCAGTGGTACCAATAATTGTAGAGAACGGTGCGTGGATATCGCCTCGGGACCGCGACCGATAATCCAATATCACGGAAATTCTCGGTGGAGATAACCTTGTTGAAAATTGAAAATTAAAAATGGAAGGAATAAAGTAAGTTGCGGCCCCCGGTTTATATTGATTACTGGCAGTTATCTAAAATGACGAATACCGCTATCAGAGGAATTCCATCTGAACGAATTAATTAATGAAAAAAATTGACGAATTTATATTTTTATTTCCCAATTCAAATTCACCCAATTGAATTTTTCAGATGACGTGAAGTCTTTCAAGAGTCTGTAATTGAAATTTTTCGAGATTGAAATTCACATAAATTAATATTTATTGACAGGAACATTAGGTATATTGAATATTTGGAATTTAAATTTGCATAGCCGGATCTGTTTGCCTTCGAGATCCTGGATGGTCATCTATATCTCCACATAGACTTGGGCAGTGGTCATCTTAAAATTCGTGCATCCAAGCGTCGTGTGGACAATGGAACTTGGCATGATGTTGCATTACGCAGAGTCGATCGTAACGGCCGAGTGACTGTAGACGGCGAGACCATTGACTTCAATACACCCGGTAATTACCCCCCAAAGTATCTCCTCGATCGTAAATGAAATGAGAATGACCAGGACAATAGCCCTCCGCATCACTGGTCCAGATTTTTTTTTTCTCACCATATCGTGCCACTGGCTCTCCCACACCAGATAACGGTGGAATAAAAAAAAAAGGAAATGGTGGAAAACAAAGAAAATAAAAAGCGATTCAATTTAAAGCCAATCAAAGGGCCGTCCCGCGTCGAACATTGTATTTCGATCAAGCTTTTGATGGATTCCAAGTGGTAAAAAATCCATAGCACATTGATATGCACTTTTGCTATCCAATTTTCGAGTTGCGAATCATCGCGGTCCAACAATTTTTCCGTTATTCTGTGTCGACAATTTTTTTTTTAAACGTTTCTATCTGATTTTTTACGCTATTCAAATGATTATTCATTCTTCTCCCTTAACTATCGACTAGATTATTGCATAAATTTTGCATGAATAATGCTTTTTATCATAATTAATAATTAAATTCTGATGATGACACATATCAGGCAGCCAGAAATTCTAATTGGAAATTTGTAGCATTTATTTGTGGAAAGTCGAGGTGTGGATTATTCGGGAATTTCCTCAAATGACGGACAAAACTAAAACCCCTGACACAACCTCTCGTGCATTGTTTATTGAATCAATAAACAACTGTCTGTACGAGGCTATGCAACATCTTTTGATGGTTAGTTATAGTGCCGGCGGCGAATAATATTCGATGAAACTTTAGTATCGAACTTTGAACGTGTCAGCGGAACACGTTGTTAGGGTGGCATAAGTTTCACCGAGTCGTTTGGCGTTGGGGGAGCGGTTGAGGGCACAACCATTTGGAGTTGTCTTAGATGGTAGCTAGTGCTGACGATACCCGTTGTACGAACCTAAGTTACACCTTCCCTAGGGCAACCAATCTAACGCCAAGATTTCCTGACATTGCCAAATAATTTTGCAACTCTCTGGTACATCCAACTATTCCTGGTTCTCAGGATATGTGTCACTAGCGACTGTCAATCATCAACCATTATTATATTTTCACCTGTCTTTCTGTCTTTTATTTTATTTATTTTTTTAATTAATGGAAACCGGTTTTTTTTTAGAATTTCCATCAGTTTTGGGAATTTTTGGAATTTAAGGAGACGGAAAATTTGAATAGTAGTTCCCTTATAGAAACATGTAAAAATAATATTAGTCAAATGACTTTAGGGGATTCAACTCAACTTGATCTCGATGGCTTGCTGTACATCGGTGGTGTGGGTGTACCTTTTGCACCTCTGACCGTACCGCCCACCCTTTGGAGCGGTGCCCTGAGGCAGGGTTACGTTGGATGCATGCGAGATCTCGTTATCAATGGACAACCGGTTGACATCGCTGGCTATGCCCAACAACAAGACTCTGGTGAGAAAATCTACCTCTATTTCTAACCTCTTGGATCCCCTCACTCAATTTAACATGAATATTCATTACCGGACTCCGCACTACTGCCTCAAAATACATGATTATCGATTTATAATGGTTACTCTGGTGACAAATCTGTTATTTTTTGGAATAAGAAAAAAAAAAAAATTCGCTGCGGACAGGATTCGAACCTGTGCGGGCAAAGCCCATCAGATTTCGAGTCTGACTCCTTAACCACTCGGACACCGCAGCAATTGAAGTTTTTCCTCACTCGTGAATGTATTTATAAGAGAGCGACTCTCATTCATTGAATTTACGATTTTTCAGCTTCATTTGTTTAATTAAACAATTGTTTATCCTTTCTATTTCAATTTCTTCAGTCAATTAATTCAATAAATGTATTACTAATTCGTAAAATAAATTCAATTAACTATTTTTCATCGTTTTTCTCCTTTTAATGAATAATTCTCGATTTTTTGTCAACAATTTTTCCTCCACCGGACACCTTTCCCAATAAAAAAAAATCATATCTAAAATACAGCCATAATTTTTCGTGGCTCTTGCGTGATGCGATACCAAATGGTAATTTCTGAATATCGCGGGCGAAAGAGATTAAAAAAAAAAATAGACCTAGCATTCGAAAGATGATACAAGTGGGACTGAGGTAGGGGATCTACCTAGCAGCGATAAAAGTGAAAAATTATAATACCAATTGCCATTATGTAACTCTTGAAAACCCATTATCATTTCGCTCTATACTGGAGAGGCTACAAATCATGGGAATAATAACTTAACAATGTGCATTAGATTAATATCGTGCCTAGCAGTGCCCAGCATAAATGCAAGCGATAAATTTTCTCTTATTTTCTAAAAAAAAAAGAATAAATCTATGTTTACTTCATTTATGATTTCAGGCGCAGTAAGACCCGCGTGTCGCGCGCAATCCGCCCACTGTTCGTCTCAACCGTGCATGCACGGTGGCCATTGTCTCGAGGGTTGGAACAGATTTTATTGCGATTGTACAGCAACTGCATTCACAGGGCCCACGTGTGGTAAAGGTTCGTAAATAATATCTCGAAATACAGACATTACACGAAACTTCAAGTCTCAATTGTCGTTTACATTCAATGGGGTAATATAAGTTTTCTATAAATATTCTCGATTCAATTATACACGTTATTTTCAATCAACGCATGTATGAAGTCTACTGCAGTTGAACTTAAATACTTTGAATAAAAGTTGAAGTTATTTTGAGTCAAGTCCAAAAAAAAATCGACTGACATGAATCCGAGCGCCTAATTACCGGCAGAATTGATTCCGACCTGACTCATAATAAATTAATCAATCCAAAATGCATCTCCCTCAATTTTCCCTTCGTCTTAACTCATAAATTTCTAAATCTATCTTTCAACTTCGAAAGACGCATCGATCCTCCATCTCAATGGGAGCCAGCAATTGACAGCACTGATGCCAGAGGACTCCAGAACCCAGGCCGAGGAAATCTCCATGAGATTCAAAACAACAAAGCCCAAGGGTTTACTATTAGCAACGAGTTTCGAGAATAGTTCCGATCGATTGCAAATATCACTTGAACAGGGAGTAGCGAGGGTGCGAGTCCACATCGGCGGTCGTGAGAAGGTGAGCTGATGACAAAGATATTATTCCTTTTTTGAGCCATCGGCTCAGAAAGACCTTTGCGATAACGGGGTATAAAACGAGTAATAGAAACAAGACATTGTGAAATCTCGTACTTAGTCAAATGATGTGGATAAAATGGTTGGATGAGGGGTTGAAACACGCGGATGTGGCAAAGACATTTGCTATATTCCCCTCGTAACTTATGAATCAGCACTTTGTACTCTCCATCCCGAGGCTTACTGTGAAATTCAATGCAGGAAAATACTCACAGATTTATGCAATTTGAGGGATAAGATTATTACTTGAAGATATTTACTATCCGTTGGTCCGTCAATCCTCGAAATCATATATATGTCATTTCCCCCCAATCAAAGTCAGTGCAAAATTATTTATTATTTATTTGAAGGGAGAAAAGAGTTGACGTTGATTGACAGAAATAATTTTTTTTCACCCTCAGAAGGAGAATTCTTTTCCCTCTTCACAGCAACGTTTTTAATACCCATCAATCTCTGTATTATTGAAATCTGCTGAAAATACCGAGAGTAACAACGAATACCAGATGCATTCACATGATTCTAATAAAACAGAGAGCATTATTGGAACTCATGGGGTTGGATATTTCATAGTAATAAAAATTCCTCGTGCACATGGTCCCTTTCATGCGTGATAAATAATGGAGGCACTACACCCTGGGATTTTATCAGTATTTCGATGAGTCGTTCTGAGCATTTTGACCGGAAATCAATGATACGTTGATATGATATAAGATACATAGGTACATAGCATCATATATAAGGCATGTTTCATCTTTCTGAAATGCTCTCGATTCTATACCGCATATAGTATTTATTGGATAGCATGGATAAATAAAAAAAATTTGAGCAAATTCAATATTCGAAGCTGATGGAAAATGGCATTTTCAACTTTCCACTGGTACACGATGAAACGAGATTGCTGAACGCTAATATCCGCCTGATGATGGCATTTGCCAGTAATTTTTGATTGAGAAAATAGAGAGTGTACGTCTCCCTCAGTTTTTTTTTCCATTCCCATCGATCGCACTAATACCTCGGAAACATTCATCCCTCATTTTATTTCACGCTTTTCCATTTGTGTGCTATAAATCTATCTTCAATTTTACTGGCTATTTTATTTTCACTATATTTCCACTAGCAATTAAATACGGATAATAAAATTGATAAATTTTAATGGAAATGGATAAACCCATCGGAAAAATTCATTCATCGGTGAGAATCATCGGTTTATCCGCATAATTTGCAAACTCAATTTGAATTCACGTTAAAAACCCCAGACGCAGACAATAAGATTAGAATCGAGTTGTTTGTCCGTCAGTTGTGTCCGCAAACACGATCGAAATTAATCCGACTGCTGTGGACTGTTGATTTTACTCTGGGATTGCGCGTTGGTAAGGGTGATACTAATTCCGCCATCGAGTTCCAAATAAATCTGGTGCGATTCAATTTGGGGAAAACGTATGGGACGTGAAACGAGGTTTATCGGCAAATCAATTGAGGAATTAGCCGATGAATTTCCTTACCTTTTTCTCTTTTTCTTGCAGGTTTTGTACTCCGGCCAGGGCCTTAACGATGATATGTGGCACAGCTTGCGGTTTTCTCGGAGAGCGACTAGCCTCAAATTCCAGGTGGACGATGAGCCGATTGTTCGAGGTAAATGTTAAATCACAAATAAAACTTTTGAAAATACCTAGTAATAAAAGTACAAACAATTGAGCGTCAGAAAATTCGGTAATATCCGGACATTTAACGAGAAAGAATAACGAGCTCCAAGGCAATTTAATATAGGATCCCATATCCCCCGTTTGGTGCACCTTGCAGATATAAACTTTACCACCCACAGACTACTCTCCAAGTCATAATTACATGTAATTATTCCAAGGATGATGTCTGCAATATCGTTTTTTATCCCATTAACAGAAAGTTTCCTAGATAAATCATCAGAAAACTCGACGAGGTGAAGAGTTTTGCAAAGTCATAACGAGTCATTGACCCAGAGGTTCACAACATCTTCGAGTTGGCAAAGTCCCTTTCTCACCCTCGCCCTGCTGCACCGTAATATCGTATTTCAAAATCCCTATTTAGCATAAATATCCGACAGCCGGTGAACCCCTAGTGCAATATCCACAACTATAGCAGAAGGGGTTGGTACATTGGTGGAAGTGAGGGTGGGCCACTTGAGTTCTCGTTCTTGATGAAATATTGTTGTTGTATCGGGCCAACAACGACTTGCCACCCGCCGTGAATCTCAACCCAATATAGACGTGAGTGTGTTTGACTTGGAGTTGAATCTCCACTTGATGGCATGTCAATATGACATCCTATCGTTTCACACGTCTACTATTTTCATTAATACCTAATAATTTCAATTACAAAAAATATTTCCAACTAACACCACAATGTGGGACACAAAATGTTTATATTATAAATTTGTACGGCGAGTTAACTCCTCTCGATATAATATGTATCAAGTTTCTTTGTTCTAAGTTGTTTGGTTTGTTCATGTTGTTCTGGTCACGGTTACGAACACAACAGAATCCCGTGCCGTAATATGAATCAAAGATGAAGTTCTAGTTTTTTTTTTCTTCATATAATAATTTCAACATGATGGAATTTTCTCGGGCTGTCGTAAAATAGTTTCTCCACCCAGAACCGTTAAAGAAAGATAATGGAAGCTTGAAAAAAGAAGGGAAATAAGCGAACGGTGAGGAAAGATGGCGGTTAGGACGGTGTAGCTTGAGCAAATTGGCTGGCTATAGATATATCAGAGATCTAAGAGGACCCTTGCTACTGCACATATATTCCACAGGAGTTTATATAATGGCTCTAGGTGTCGGGTGAAAAACTACCCCCGATAATCAATTTCACATTGGGATTTATCCCATCCCTGAAATCGACCCTGGAATTTTTTTTTTTTTCGATTTACCTGGAGATTTATTTTGTATTTCGAGGTGGCCTAATGTACACTTTTATTTCTTTTTTAATTCACCCGATTCCGATACTCACTGATATCGAGTTTTTTTTTTTTTCTAGTTTTTGGAAGCAAGGGTCATTTATTCGTTTAACGAATATCATCATTGACTGTCGAATTAAATATTCTGTAGATTCCTGCTCACGGTAATTTATGCGTATACCTTGAGAATAATTCATCCTAGCGAACTCTCAAAGTGCAATTCTACACTCCCCATTTATCTCGTGTAGGCCAACTTTGTAATCTCATATTCTCATGATTTAATTGGGTAATTAATTTTGAAAATCCGGGAGATTAATTTTCCTATCGTCTACTGACGGAATCTGACGTACAGTTCTCTCATACTGGGTTACAATCTCATTTATCCAGGACTCTTGGAACGAAATTCATCGTCAGACTCGAAAGAAAAATTCATCGTGTATTATATTTCATAGAGAATGATTAATCCTTTCTGTTCAAATCATAATGAGCGATTGATTGACGACGCAGCTGTTTTGTCACAGAAATTTTTCCGACAGATTGTTCATGAGTCGATTTTAGAAAAATACAAATTAGCTCATTGATCAATTGGATATCATCATCGACACAGCGGAATCAAATGGCGGGGGCCTTATAAATTGTACGGTTCCAATGCCACTCACGTCGTGAAAAAAAAAACATAAAAAAAATATATCTATAGTGGTAGGGTGGAACCTCGATATCCAATCGCTTGTAAAGCCCCTTTTCCTCGTTTTGACGATACATATGGCAGAATTGTCATCTCTAGGGTTGAGTTGCGTCTCTTCCTCTATATATAAGCTATAAACCAATAAAATTCAACCAGTATGCACAGTCTACTATCACTACTGAAATACACAGACAGTTTAGAGTATAAAGTTTGCCATTCTACTGGAGTACATTGACCTCGATATACCATAACATGCCCTTTTTCTGAGTTTATTCTATCCAGTGGATTTCACCACTACTTTCTCGAAATCTCTTCTCGTTTTTTTTATTGGATTTCTCATTTCATAAGGAGAAATTTAGATTTTTTATTGGAACAATAGAATTAAATCAATTGGTTGAGAATTCAGGGGAGTTAAATCGATTTTTGTTTTGACCTTTTTGAGCTGTAGGTGTTGCGAAATGAATGTTGAATTGAGGAAGAAGTTGACAAGTGAACTTTTTTAAATAGAAACGATGCTAATAATCGAGTTAATTTGATGGAAAGAGCCCACTGTGAGGGGATTCCTAACGAAATTAATCCTGGTCCCATCGGCGAACCTGATAGAGGGCTCAATGGCACCACCCGTCAAACACACCGTCCAACGTCCACCAATATTCGATAATATAATCGATGGAACCTCGGTTTGCTCGACAACTCTGTGCAAGTGCACACACCAGAAGGTCCATCGGATAGCTATGCGTTGGACCTATCAAACAGTATATCATGGTCGTATTGTCTCTACCACATCGTAGAGTTGATATAATGGCATGTTACGGGGCTGTCTATCCATTGGCTCAATTTATTTTTCCAAATGTTTAATATTCAATTAATTAATTAATTCCTCCTCATACACGATGTTACTATAATATCCGGAAAATACTGGGGCATCCGGAGTTCCACTTGACCCCTTGTGTAAGGAGCAATTTCAGTGAATAATTAAACTGAAAACCGTGAGGCATCTCTTCTATTATTTCCACATAATTTTTTAGGTTTATCGATGTTTATTATTTTAAAAATGTGCAGAAGAGGGAAAAGGGGGAAAGGGAGTGGAATGGATATTTTTTTAACGTGCGTCACGTTTACGTGAGAATGAATAGAGAATCTCTGGGACTTTGACATTTTGTGCGTTAAATGCTGAGATAGGCAGATGGTTGGCATGATGCAAACACGTTACTCAAACATGACTCGTAAACTATCAACCTGGGAGGCATTGGAGAACCGCACCGCGAGTCCGTCTCTCGGTGCATCCTACACCCCTAGAGGCATTCATAGGGTATACCGGGGGGATAAGTGAGCTCGTAACGGTCAGGGTGGAACAGAGGAGGAGTACTTGACTATCCTACAAACAGAGTCATTTACGAACCAATCAAACGACGTTTAATTGGATCGTGAATTGCCATCAAAGAGAAAACCGTCGAGTGCGCATCTGACCAATAGATGCTGCCTTGAAACAACAAGATTCTTAGTTGTCATGGACGATCATTATTTTCCTTAATCACTTGAAAAATTATTAGAGCGACGATGAAAATTATCGCCGAGTCTTCATTCGAGGAAATAAAATAAAATCCCTTATTTTTCCGTTCAAACTCATAAAACTGCGAATCACTTAACAACGATGCAATGACTTGAATTTAATTGCATTACCTAAGTCATTAATTATTGAGAATTATCTCACATTTAGCCCCTGAATGGTGACATTTTTTCCAACCAAATCAATATATCGTGACTAGTCAACAGTATCTCGTTTAAATGAACAATTCCAATTCAATTACAACAATTAACCATCGGGACACTCACAGAGGCCGTGATAATTACGGATAATGTCACTAATATCAGCCACAGAGTTCACGTAATAGGGGTACTATTACATCTGAATAACCAATTAATGGATGAATTATTTTTCGTTGTATACTTGCTAGCGTTGAAAGTGACCTATTCCCATCAGTGAATTCATCCTTTCGCCATTCATTTGAATGGAAATTGGATTTTCTCAACGGACTATTGGACATTTGATCCGATTGTCGATGCTAAAAGTTTCCTTCCTGTATAAAATCTAATGAGAACACATAATTAATGAACATTATCTTCCGTCTGTCTAGCTGAAACCCAACTCGGCAGAGATGCTATATTGGAATTTCGCACCCTTCACGTGGGTGGTTATCTTCATCCCGGTGAGGATTTGCCTCACTTTGTCGGCCAGCTCCAGCAAGTATGGGTCAATGGGCACTCATACCTTGAAATAGCCCGCAGCACTGGAAATCATCAGAGTACACATCAGGGTGTTACGCCAATTATAAGGGTGACTGGAAAATTTGGGAAACGCAATCATCCAGTGCATCATCCGGTTACTTTTACATCGGAACATGCTTTCGTCGGATTGCCGGTTTTGAAGGCCTACGTCGAAACGAATATTTACTTCCAGGTCACTTTTTTTTAATTTTTATACAATATAATTAAATAATTTTCTATCAATAGTCCTTTAATGACAAAAAAAAGGATATTCCCAATAATTTGAGTATGGCGTTTATCAACAGTTCAAAACCAGAGAAACAAACGGCCTGATTCTGTTCAACGCGGGTCGTGAGCGCGATTTCATTGCTGTGGAATTGGTTAGCGGACACATCCATTATGTCTTTGATCTCGGTGATGGGCCAATTCGCATCAGAGATTCCTCAAGGTCACGTCTTAATGATGGAAAATGGCATGCCGTGAGTATCGGCAGACCAGCCCCAAAGCGACACACACTGGCAGTTGATGATCACGTGAACGCGGTTAATAGCCAAGGGAGCAATGAAAATTTAGATCTCGATGGTATCCTCTACATAGGTACGTAACAAACTTGATTAATTTGGACTTTTCAATCCGGTAAAACAATGCCGATTGACATTCTTCACTCTGCGGTCCCTCTTTATTTCGATACGTAACTCGTCCTCAAACTGTCATCAACAATGTGCAACAACATTTCCACAGCAGAATTTACCCTCATTCACGATTGTCCAATTCTGTGAGTTCAATTTGACGACACGACAGGACATCTGTGGGTTTCCTTTTACGCCCTACCAATTCAATTCCACTGGGCGTCACACCACTGAATTCGGTTTAAACTATATGGATTGTACGGATCATTGTTCGCTTGAATTCCAATGCCAGTTGACGAGCGGTTTTCACAACAAAATGCTCACCTCCACTCCTCTAATTGTTAAATTTTCACCAATTCATTGTACTGACAGTTGGAGAGTATAGCATTAATTCAAATCGATACCCTCCCTATGAAATTTATTTTTCGCCTTTATTTTCCTCGGGAATTGAATTTGTCACCGAACGATACAGTGGATTTTTAACATGTGGGCGACGAGGGGTAATACACTGGGCAAATCGAAAGATACACGATAAAAGAAATTGAAGAGTGATGCAATTATAAACAGAGCGACTACAGCATAATTCTACTGTATACAGAGAGACATTAACTCGCCCGGCTCATAAACTATATCATTCCATTTTTGGATTATCTCGTGTTGATTACAACCGGAAATAATGAAAAGTCCCCGGCAATTTTCATTTCAAATTTGTGGCCTCAATAAAACAACTTCAATCTAGAAGCATTCCACAAATACTCCATAAATGATAATTAATGCAGTTATTTATGAAACTCTTCTGAAATTGATTCAATAATAAAATCTACATGCGTAAGATATATGCAGGTACCTAATTAAATAAAATGACAGGTGAATACAAACGGCAATGAATATGATAATTCCACTTAGCGATATTGAAGAGTTGCTGTGGAATTAAAATTCAGTTGAAGATGTTTACTGTAACGAGTGAATAATGGAATGGATGATATTGAAATGACGTAATAATTTCAGGTGGAGTGGAGAAGAGTCAGTACGCTCAATTACCCAGTCCTATACTGAGTCGTCAGGGCTTTGAGGGATGTCTAGCCTCACTTGACCTGAGTGGTGAGAGTGTTGACCTCATGTCAGATACCGTTGTAACAAGTTCACTGGTTAGATCAGGCTGTGATGTCTACGCTAATATGCATTCTGGGAAGAAATGTACACATGACATTTGCGCTAATCACGGGGCATGTGTTCAGCAGTGGAATAGCTACACTTGTGACTGTGATATGACGAGTTTTGGTGGACCAACGTGTAATGACGGTACGATAATTAACATGCATAAGATATTTTATTCGTTGAACAGTGAAAAACATGACGATACACATAATGCAATGATAAATAATACATATAAAAATCACGTTTAACCCTCGGGAGGAAATACAGACAAGTCATCTCCACACCATTTTGCACGTGGGGAAGACATTTTTTTTTTTCGTTCCTGTGTGAGAAATATGCTATTGTTAATTTGCAGAAGCCGTTGCCTACGAATTTGGACCAGGCAGAGGATTAATTACCTATACATTCCCGACTGATCGTCGGCCTGAAATGAAACGGGACACTGTAGCCCTCGGATTTGTCACCAGCATTAATGACGCAGTGCTATTGAGAATGGAATCAGCGACGAGTAATGACTATCTGGAAATCGAAATAGTTAGTGAATATAATTCTCTGAATAGATATTATTTCATTCCAAAAATATTTATTCTATAATTCGAGTACACCGTCTGTTGAATTTTTACTTCTTTCACTTTTTCTTTTTTAAATTGGACACCCGGTAATTTCTCCTTTGGGCGAATTATAATTTCATCTACCATGAAATTTCAAATAATTTTTATGTGACATTAATCTGCTGAAAAAGGAACTCGATTTAACGCCATCATCAAACATAATAATTGAATTGGTTCGACTAAATATCGATTGACTGCATCGATCGTTGTGTATTATGTAAACTTCCATTTCCACATTACCAGTGTTCACCGAAATATCCCCACGAGACTATTCGTTTCATTAAACCCAATATTTTCATTGAAACGACGAATATCATGAATGTACTATTTTATTATCGTCGTATTGGGTCGTTTGTAACCCTGTTACAAACTCCACCGGTGCAATAATCAATTCTGCTCTATTTATTCACGAAATTCAGAGGTCTATACTGATATATAACCATCAGCCTATCAGATTGCATATGCATTGGGGTCTTTGAGTTAAATCCCAACACTAATACCATATGATCGATTATACAATCGTGATTCAATTATTTCTATTGAACTCTCACTGCATAGGTTCATTTTACTAATAGAGGTATAACACTGGGAACACAATCCCAAGGAAGATTGCATAATAGCTGAGTTGAGGATTGAAATAGCCCATTTTGTCTTAAAACGCGGCCGCTCATTCAATTTACAATTAATTCTCCATTTTTTTTCACCACCCAAAATATTTCTCCATGATTTTTCATAAATATCTCTGAATCCAAGAGAGTTGGTAAAATTTTTCATATGACCTCTTTTGTCAGCTGGAATGAGAGCTACGAAAAAGTTATTTGCTAAAATTTTATATCTCTCATAAATTCAGAGATATTTATCGAAAACTCGTCTATTAGTCGAATCGATCTGTTGAAGTGTTTTGACAAATTTAAAATAGTCCACTTTAATCTCATCTCCGGGAAATTGAACAAGCAATCAGGAAAATTCATATTTCCAGGTCGAAGGCAACATTTTTGCTGTTTACAATATGGGCACTAACGATCATCCAATCGGCGAAGTTGGGGTGAAAGTCAATGACAACCAGTATCACGTTATAAGGTTTACGAGGAATGGGGCTAACAGCACTCTACAAATTGACGATTATGATGTGCAGTCCAATCATCCGTCCGGTGAGTTAAATTTTTTCATGTTCTTTCATCTCTGAAGCGAGTCACCACGTAATTAATTACACCTTTACGATGCGTTTTATATCCGAAACCTGAATTACGCACAAACCGATAATTTCCTATTATTAAAGACGAACTGTTTTCATTCAATTTCTACAGCGAATATACACTTTAAAAAACTCGATTACAATTAATTATCACAGATTTATAACAGTAAAAACTATATGTAAACTGCACGAATCTTGTGAGCCACATAAAAGACAACTCTCGACTGCGGCCTATTGCATGAGGACTCTCGTCTCCCACTAAAAGTTCTAGTGCTCTCTGATTGGCGAGTGTCGAGGTATAGGAGGGGGAAGTGATTTGATTAGGCCCTTTTTTCGAGAGGCGTGGCCCCAGTCAGAACCCAATGTCTGAGATTCGAATCGGCCTGTGTCCCCAAGACATCCCAAATCTTCCAGATTTTCCCCAAGAGAATCTCTTTAGAAAAATACTCCCTTCCAGCTTATGTTCTTCGGATTTCAGAAAGCCTATTATTTTCGATTTTTTTTCAATTTCAAGTGCAATATGTCCTAGACTTTCTCAATATTTATGCATCTCTGATAATTCGGGCACGCTTAATTGGATTGTCTCTCGTAATTTCGTTTTATCAAGGAAATGAGAAAACCAAGAAAATTCTTAAGGCATATGGTGTCCTGGTCTAGTGACCTTTTGAAAAGTTACTCGTCTTTGGAAAATTTTTCGACTATTTGAGAGCACCTCCTCGCCCAGCATTAAAACCTGGTATAGAAATTGGAGATAATTGGTACGAGCGTGACGATAAATATCACGATCTGTCAAAACATTTCAGTCCCATTGTGTGAGTCCCAGTGGGTGGGTAAAATCCTAAAGATCCAAGAAGTAAATCGTATTTATCCATGAATACTCAACAAACCGGTGGAAATATGCGCTTGAAAAAGATCTATTCACTCCATTCAACTGGCGATGAATTGAAGTTTTCCATTCAAAGTGTCAGAAGATTTTTCGGGGCTCAAGTTCCACGGGAGTTCTGAATTCCTAATCCTCACCCTGCGAATAATGATTCCGCCCACTTTCACTTTCCATGGGGATTTCAGTGACAACATGCTTGCCTGGTACTAGAGTCAATATTAGAAGTGATCGATAGCCCGATATAACAAGATCTTTGGAAATTCGAGGATTTCAATGGTCAAGAACTTTCAGAAATATTCCGCCTCTCAGCTCTCCTGACGGCTTTTGAAATCCTGTTACTTTTCGAGATATAGTCCAGTGAAGATGACATCTTAGAGATAGATTACGAGATAGATTACGTCTTGGGGTTGGGCAGTATCGTCTTTCAAATGTGTCTGGAGTATCGGTTTTCGAAGGGAAGTCACTAGGAGAGCAGAAATACAATAGCGGTATCAAGAATTTATTTTTGAGGACAAATAAAACAGGCGGCATAGATCAGAAATGAAAATTCATAAAATTCAATTTCAATCTGCCTGAAGAGAAAATGGAGAATTCTTGAAAAATGGAGAGCACAGCGTTATTTACCCCGCGTTATGAATGCAGCACAGGAAGTTGAAAGTTAAGGACGTAAGAAAAAACGGTTGAGAGTTGAAGGAAAAAAAAATTATTAAATTAAGTTGAGAGTCGTAAATGGTCCCCGAGAACGAGTCCATATCCAGAAGTGGTTGCATTCGTTGGCCGTTAGCACAGAGGGGGAGATGAATCTCATTTGATTTAATTAGAATAAATTTAGTGGTGCGGTTCAAAGTTTCTAGCTCTATTGCGGTATATAAGCCTGGTAGCTGAATTCATCAAATTATGCGTAGTGAAGCTGCCCAGAAGGCAGACAGCCATTTTACGGTGGTTAGATTTTTTTTCCCTCGAACGTGAAAAATGGGAAAACGAAAAAAAAAAATGATTCAACTTCCGAAAGTACGAAATAACGCGGTGGCAGAATTTTTCTCCCCTTTCATGTCAAACTCTCATCAGTACCTTATGTTTTCCTCATTCTTGAGTAGAACTTCACTGAAAATTTCAACCTCCTTCTCTCATGTTTCTAATTACAACGCAGTTAATTAGCGCTCACAGTTGTGGGAGCAATTAAAATAACTTGGTGACCCCATTTTTATATTGGAGTGTCAGAGTGCCCTATTTCATTACTTCTCGGTTATACTTTTTTTTTTTCACTGACTTCTACATATGCCTGAGCTTTTGTTCTCCTCTCACTTGTACTCCTGAGGTCTCTCGCAATTCTATTAACGCAGGGAGGAAAAATTCAAACTTTTTTTCTCTTCATTATTGAAGCTGTCGTATCTGTTAAGGCGACCCTTCATAATTAATTATTTCTGAATAATTGCAATCTTCATCACTGAGTTATTGTTCATCAGTTTTATTGTAAATCCGATAATTGTGTGATTATTCATTTCTCAGGAGATTAATCGTTATTACAATAAATTATTTAATATCATGAATCATTTATTTTTAAAATCGTAATTAATTAAACATCAATTTTGGGTGGAATTTTAGGGTTTTTCAGAGGAGTGTCATGCCTTTTGGATTATTCTGTTACCTTAATCCTTTTCAGGAGCGCGTTTAACCCTTCGGCCACTTTGTGGGTCTTGGGTTTGAAAAAGTAAAATAAAGCCGAGGTGGGCCTTTCAGGTAGAAGTTTTCAAAAGCGAGAATCCTGGGTTGAGAGTTACTTATACTTGCCTGTCTCTCAGAATATCGAGAATCATTGAAAGCCTTCCACTCTGATATCTGAATGGTGGGGTAGGGACTTCACCCCTCGTTCTCCCTGTGACTTCAAAAGACCATTTCTGTTCAGGGGATGTGCCTCTTCGTACTTTCTCATTCCCTGATTCATATGTGGATAGTTACGTGTCCCTAAGACACATATTCTCACGCGTCTCCTCTCGTGCCTCAGAACTTCATTACTTTTTCTGAGGGTTTCTCTTCCTTTTCACAACCTCTTGGGGAAATTGGATACGGATACCGGTGATCAGATATTTCTTCGATAGGAAATTGAAAAAAAAAATGAATTACGGGTTTATTGCAATGATTAATGTTTGAACAATTGAATAAATATGGTGTTTATTTGTGCGGAATGAACACCCGGAAATAAAACATTGTTTTACGATTTATAACTGAAAACGTCAAGTCGAGATTTTTAGGTTTTATCATTTTTTAATGACTCCCAAATTTTTATAGTAGTGCGTATATATTTTGATAAATTCCAGCTATCAATATCATATTCATCCGGTTTATATATTCCACATGTCTTGCCAGAACATGCCTCGGCACATGCGTGTGAACCCGGTGATACGGATAATCCCTCCACCCTTCGCACCCCCTAGGGGATGAACATAGAGTCGGGGGTGGATAGTGGTACCTCTTGTAGCTTCTGCTTCTCTATTGGAAAAGGTCACGTTGTAGGTCTCTGGGTGGTGTTCATTGAGTGTTTGGCACAGGGGATAATTCTCCTCCATTGTTTACTGAACCCCCGTCCCTTCGTGAATTCTAATAAACCCTTCGTACCTACCTACTGCCACTTCTGTTCCCCTGATACTTAAATAGTTCAAGCCAAATTCTCTCGGTTCCAACCGCTCCACCATCTTTACAAGGGGTTACTATGGTGCACCTCAGGTATTAGGAGCTATTCACCCATTTTATCGGATAGGGTCCTCACGTATCTGATCTCCTAATTCTTATTTAGCTCACGGCCATTAGAAATCCTACCCCTTTCTTCAATTTCTAACGCCAGTATCGAGACAATATTTTTTTTCCTCGGATAAAATCATTTTTACTCTTCAAAAATCGAATTAGTCTTTAGAAAATGATTTTAATAAATTATCTTGTCGTCGTTTGAGGTGATTAGAAAATTGGGGAAATGTGGATTTGAGGGGAATTTCATATTAGGTCATGTTTTTTGGGTACTCAATCTGTCAAATATACTATCCTGTGCACTAATTAGGGATATCTATTCGCAGAATCCTTGTGGCTGGGATTTTCTGGTGCCCTGTATTCAATGGCTAATGATCTGGTATTATTGCGTTGAGAACCGACATTACATCAACGAGATTATGATCAGGAAACTGGTAATCTCCTCGTGTATGAGAAGTCCATTCGGCGCATACAAATATATCTGAAGAGCGCTAAATACGATTTTTTGTATTTATGTTTTCAATAGATATGAGAGAATCAGGAATAAAAATTCTCCAATGGGCACTATGAGTTGTCAATTCAGGAAAATAATTTCTCAAGTCGAGAATATTATTTATATTCCAGATTTGGGATTGAAATAGGTGGGGAGCTTATTGAATTTAGTGAGGATTTAATTTATAGAGAAAATAATTGGCGGGGGTTGGGAGGTGTACCTTAGGAACTTTCTCGATGAATCTGGTGCCCTAATACGACTCTCGACGAAGCTGACCGCAGGCACAGGGTAATATTCTCACGGTTGCCTCGAGGTTGTCCCTGGGTCTTCCTCCAGGCCCCGGGGGTCGTGGGAGTATCGGTCCCCTCGCGGATCGAAGACCTTTGATCTCCGTCTGGAATTTCGTGGCCGCATCCTCCAGAATCCTTCAACCCATCGCCGGATGTGGCCTTCAATGAAATTTGACCTGTGCCCTCTGACCATTTTTTCATCGTCAAAATACCTCAAGGTCACTCTCGTTTATCCGAGTAATGTGACACACTAGTGGGAAAAATTCCGTTAGATATTCATCGGAGAAAAGAAATTTAGGAATTTATTCTCGGTTATTTATTTTTATTCTTATTTTATTTTTATTTTTTGTGGAGACCTTTTCCTCCCAGAACCCACGGTGACTCCGTGGGAACCCTCGGGAATCGTGAGAACGAATTCTCAATGGGAGATGATTTTTACGGGGATGTAATAGGAAATCAGTCTAGGGAAGGAAGTTTTTACCCAGGGAATCCCTCGGAATTGGAATTAATCTCAATGAGTGGGAGAATGGCAGATTCATTTTTCAAGA